AGCAATAGCTTAGAAGCTCCCTTGCCAATTGGTAGCTTTATACTTTGAAGAATACCAATCATATCATACTCATTTATATCGAAATTGGTAATAGCGTTTTCACCTTTAAGCCTAATTGCTGCAACATCATATGCCCTAGCTGCTTCCTCTTCAGTATCTGATTGTTTAAAGCATGAAAGTGTGAGACATATGAACCATGAAAGTTAAAGCATTTAGTTCTTTGAAACAAGTAACAGCAATGTGCTAGCAAGATTTAGTTTCACCATTTGGCCAAAGAAGAAAAGGATTTAGTTTCACCATTGTTTAATACCATTATATCACTTAAAAAGGATTACTTGATTGTCAAGTTATCTTTAATTATAATAATCATTGTCATTTTCATAAAAAAATGATATAAGTTATGATCAGTATTACCAAATGTTCCTAGGTAAATTCCTTTAATATCTTTTCCTTTTCCAATCCTTGCTTGCCATTTCTTGAAATCTGAGTTCCTGCTAAGTGATTTCTCATGAGAGAGTGAGAAGAAGAAGCAGAATACAACAGGTGGGGAGAAGGAGATGAGGAAATATATATATGCTACCTGGAGACTCCACGATAAATTGATGCACCCTTTGCAAAGCCTCTACTTTTTCTGAAATTTGTGAAGTTTTAAGCCATAACAGGAAACCCTCAAGAGTTAATTTCAAGTGACAATGACTTTCAGAATATAAGGAATCAGTTCATTTGTATATATTAAAGGATTATTTGAGCACAAAAGAAAACGAGTTCACTTCCAGGAAAATAAGGCAAATTGAAATAATTCTAACTTGCGGCTAACCTTCTTATGTTGCGAAAATATTCATTTTTCGTATAAAACTGCATCTCTTCCAAATCCTTCTTATAGTTACTCATCTAGAGATACATGAAGAAAATTTAGCTGCTAATTGAGCATTAATTGATCATACTTGTAAAACATATGCTGTGAAAGGAAATATACTGGGAAATTTAGTGGCGCAAATTCGCCCCATAACTTCAGAGCAGCTAAATCATAAGCCCTAGCTGCGGACTCTTCGTCATCATATCCACCTGTCAAACCAAATGAACAGGCTGAGGAATCATTATTTGTTCTTTGGGATGTCTTACATAGTTACAAAGTGGCATTGAATGATCACTCACCTATATAAACTACAAGTGCAGAAGGAAGAAGAAGAAGAACAACCAAAGGATTAGTAATCAATGAGATGATGATAACTAGGAAAAAATATAATACAAAAAAGAAAAAAAAAATAGAAAACCAGACATTTGAGTGACCTGTCTTTGGTTTTTGTCTCCTATCACTGTTATCCCACAAAAATGCCTCATATCGACCAGTGTATCTGCATCAAATTCAATGTCAACTTTGAATTTCAATCATAAAATATATACGTACTTGAATATTTATGCGTTATTTACATGTCTAATTAACCTGTTTAATTAGCTTAAATATGGTGGATAGAATCAGACCTGCTTACTCCTCGATAAGTTGAGCTTCTCACACCAAAAATCCGCTGCGGATCCTGCCTTTGCTGACGCCTTCTCTTACATTGGTTACTCTTATTTTCATTACTTTCACCAGGGCTTTGACTACTGTTACCCCTATCACTGCCACAGGAATTTGTTCTGTTGATGATCAAATACACAAACTTGCATTCATGATTAAGAAGAAAAAATGTGATAGACTCTAACCTTGTTTCTTCTGCTAGTTTGTGCTTCTTTGACGTATTTCTAGGCTTCCTTTTGGCACAGATGGATTTTTTACTTCCAAAGGTACTCATTTCCTCGGCATTTTGCTCCGTAGGAATGAAAGAGTTTGTCATCTCTCGAGGCATATTACAAGGCAATTGTGGGGGATTTTGAAGTAGCAATGAAGTTTCATGTCGTAAAGGATACTGATCAGGCAATGTGGCTGGAATTTGGTTCACTTGAAGGAGATTACTAAGGAAACCATAGCTTTCATGAGCATCGGTGGAGTAATTTGGCTGTGCCATTGGAACTAAACAATGGTTTTGGAGTAATATTAAATTATCCAAATTAGTACCATTCATGAATATTGCATTTGAATCTTCAAACTGAGGAGCTTACTGAGTTGGCAAAGGAAAGCTTGGTAAACTCATGTTAGTTGAATTGAGAATTATCCTGCAAAAAATGGGATTCAACACGAATGAGAGAAATGCTAAGTGAAAAATAAACAAATGTAATAAACAAAACTATCATCATTGGTGAATTTCTGTAATTTTTCCAAGAGGATACAATTAATCTAGGCATCCTTGGAACCAATAAATTAAACATGCATGTTTGGGATCTTTACTTATTGATACACATTTTCCCATTTTAAACTTAATTAAAAATAAGAAAAATATATATACATTTAGTTTTAAGTTTGATCAAGAGAGACTGAAATTTTTTATTTTAATACTGTTATCTATGTTATTAACCTAATGAAAAGCATTAATAAGGAAAGAGTCCATCTTAATTATTTTAAGTTCTTGTCATGAAATTTTTTTTTATACTTCCACATTATTATTTTTTAGTTGCAAATGCCCTTAATTATTGATGAATATCTATATATATATGTGTTTTAAGAGTGTATTCTTAACCCTCTACATTTCAAAACACATGTATAATATCATCTCAAATAAGATCATTTATACATACACATATACTTGGATACTAATAACAATTTTATATCCATGCTAATCGATAAAAACATTTGAAATTTATATAATCATTATATTATAACGATATCTTGAAAACATCATTTACCAAACATTCGAAGATAAACATCTTTAAGTATATAAAGTTAGATTTTTAATAACATATAATATCAAGATTACACTTTTACATGATATTTTCATCACCAAGAGTATAATGATTAAAATTATACTACAAATATATTGAAACAGATTTGGACATAAAGAGAATTTACAACTACAGAGGGAAAAATACATATGTCAAGCACAAACCCTTGAAGGCAATGAATTGTAAGAAACATGCATGGCCAGCTCTCTTCAAATCATAAAAAATATTAAACAACCTTCAAAATGATTTGAACTCAAATGATACATCTAATGATTATGCAAAATTAAACAGGATTATATCTAATTAAATATTTTTCATATTTTCCCCATCTAAATGTGATTGAAAAATTTTAGTCACTCAGATTTGAAACCCCAATGTTGAAGAATCGTGCATGTCATCGTGATTGTCACCAGCACTAGATTTCTTGGATAACATACAAAATAAACTAGAATTAAATTGGAAAAAAATTAAAAAAAAATGGGGCTTTGAAAGCAATGAAAACATGAAAATGAAAAAAAAAAAAAAAGGGTAAAAGTAGAGAATTAATAAATCACTTTCCTATCAATAGGACAAGGAAGTACTGCTTATTCAAACTGACCTGATTTTATCTCAATGGAACTAACTTTATATCCAAATTAAAACCCAAAATCTAAGATTTTTTTTTTTTTTTGCATGATTTTGCTCTATCATCCTGAGAAAATCTTTTCCTTTTGAGTGAAAGAAGAAAAAAGCAGAAACAGCAAATTTACTAAGTGAAATGGCAAGTTTATAATTGATAAAACAAGTGATAAATACAAGATTTTACTAACCATATATGGTTGTATATAATAAATTCAGAAACCATGCAAATTTGGCCACATGAATGGAAGTGTGGGTTCCACGATCTTGTCAACTTACGTTTTAGTTTAAGTCAAAAAAAAAAAAAAAAGTAAAGCTGCCCAATCATTCTTACCATTTGAACAATTTTTTATACATATATTTGACCAGAAAAAGGTTGGGATAAGAATAAAAATTTGGGTTTCTTAACTCATCATGCAACAAATGTGAGGTTCATCAGTTACATGTTTACATTTGTATGCCATTTACCAAATTCCCTAGTTGGAATTTGGAAAATGTATTGGCCATGTGGGGTTACTACACTATAGGACTCTTTTTCTTTTCTTTTCGTTTTTTTTTTCTCGTTAAAACTATTTAATTTGAGTATATTTTAGATATTAAAACTAATTAATATATATATGAATTAGTTTATATTATTTTTGTCCAATTAATTTTTTAATAAAAAAATTGTAATATAAAAATAGAAGAGAAAAAATATTAAAAATATTGAAATTTCAATTTCAATTAAATACCACTTTTTAATTATATGAGTAAAATAAATTAAATTTTAATTCAATAATTTTTTTATATAGATATCTTAAAATTGTGTTCTCATTTCATTTTTTAAGTATTTAATGCCTTATTTCTTTTTATGTTCCAAATTATTTTTTTATGAGTTTTTTATTTTTTGACATTAAAAGTCAAACATTAATTTTATATAAAAAATTCAATTTTAATAGAAAATAAACTGAAATCAAATTCTTTTTCTTTCAAATTTTGTAAAAATCAGATAGAGACCAAAAAAAAAAAAAAACTGAAACTGAAAGAATAATTTTTTTTTTTCATTTTTGTTGTTTAACACTAAATTTGTGAGTTTTTTTAGGCTAAAATGGGTTTCATTACATATACTTTGAATTAAATAAGAAAATCAAAGACTTGTGGACCCATAAATTATTCCTCTTCCGAGGAAATGATAAAAGCTGAAGATATTGACATTAATTGATCAAGATATTAATATGGGTTACAACTAAAATCGCCTCTCATGGATGACAATTGCCAAGTTTACTTCCAAACGTGAAATCTATTTTATAAATTTTCCCGTAACTTTGAATGATGATATTCTTTTCTTCCCTTTCTAAGCCAACGCATAATTAAAATTTTGATATTTTATTAATAAATTACATGATCATTGATGTCAGCGTTTAAGTTTCAGACTTAGACCATAATTATTATGGCCTTAAACTCTTAAAACTTCTTATCAAACATGAAAACTTTACAATATTGAATTTTGAAACTTAAAAAACAATAGTATTATCAGATTTGCAGCAAGAACCTGATGCACCTTCACAAGCATGCAAGACAGTAATACTTTCAATGCTTTAAGAACTTGCAATTAGTAATACCTTGTAAAAACCTCGTATTTCTAGTAATGAACTTCTGAAACAAATTCTGATAAAGAAATGGGAACACCATGCCCAAACATTTTCCAGTCAAAAAGAGATGATTACATACAAGACATGAACGAAAACTTGATGATCTTTACTTTAATATTCAAACAGGAAGTGATTGCTCCTCAGAAGTAGAGAGCTCCAGATTTGGAAGGCAAGTCCTTGTGTTAAGGGACTGAAGTGTTCTCAGTACTTCAAACATTGAAGGACGTTTTTCTGGCATAACAGCAGTGCAACGCAGGGCGATTTCAAGAGCTCCTAGCATTTCTTTTTGGTAAGAATTTGATATCTTAGGGTCAAGAACTTGCAATGCCCCATTGGTGATATTAACTTTTCTACGAACCCACTTCACGATGTCAAGAGAGTCCAAGGATTCAATATCCTCAGCTTGTCGGCCAGTTATGAGCTCTAACAGCACGACACCGAAGCTATAAACATCAATCTGTTCAGTTGCTTTTTTACTGTATCCATATTCTGCAATCCAACAACTGATACAGTGAGAAATTTAACACATCAAATTTATAAGATCAGTTTTATATTTATAAAATATAGTTATATAAAATGCATAATCACAACTGGTTAAAAATATTTTTTGATCTACATCAAAAAGAACATAGAAAGTTACAATCATGACGATTATTTATTAAGACAGGCAAAACAGAGTTTGACTCAAATTCTGTTAGCAATATGGTGTGATAATATTCATTCATCAAATTCCATCTACATGTATGAAAGAAGTTTGGGCTAAATTTCAACAGGTAATAGATCAATGTAACAACGCATCAAGGAACATTATAGTAGTCCAATATAGTTTCTGTGAGATCCCTTACCTGGTGCATTATAGCAGGAGTGTGCAAATTCTGAAGTAATAGTTGACTGAAATGGAGCTTCTCCAACTATCCTATCAAGTGCAAAGTCTGTAAGCTTTGGTTCATAATCTGCATCCAGAAGAATGTTTTTTGACTTGAGATTTCTGTGAAGCAAATGTGGAACATAATCCTTATGTAGGTATACCAATCCTTGTGCAATCCCAATAGCAATCTTCAATCTAACACTCCATTGTATCTGAAAATCTGGTCTGCAAATCATATCCCCTAAACTCCCCTTCTGCAAGAATTCATAAATAAGAAAGACTGATTCATCTGAATGGAAAAACCCCAGAACTTTCACAATGTTCTTATGCCTGATCTTGGCTAATGTCTTGACTTCTGCCTTCAAAGCTTTGGATGATTGGCTCCCAAAATTGGTCAGTTTCTTTATGGCAACTAGTTCACCACTTGGTAGACCTATTGTATATACCCTGCCAAAAGGACCACCACTTCCTAGAGCACTTTTCTCATCCATTCCCATTACCAAATCATGCTCGGTGACTCTAAGAGGGTAGAAGAATACTGACCGCCAAACACCCATTTGAGACTTCCTCTTTGAATATCGATGAAACACAAAAATACCAGCAGCAAGAATCACAGTTCCAATAGCAAATGCTATAGATATCAGGGCACACATCAAAGTTGTCAGACCAGAAGAGTGATGTTTTGGCTGTTCATCAGAACAAGAATTTGGCAATCCAGGGCCGCAGAGTCCAGGATTTCCTTCCAAATATGAAGCTGGGAGACCTGATATTAGAGATAATGGGACCCTACCAGAGAGTTGGTTGAAGGATACGTTGAAGAGAGCTAGCTTCAAGTTTTGGAGTCCCTGTGGAATAGAACCACTGAGACGGTTGTGAGATAGATCAAGGTAAGTTAGCACAGGTAATTCAGCAAGGGAAGCTGGGATTTCTCCAGTAAGACTGTTATCGGCTAAAGACAAGGAAACTAGTTTCCTACATTTCTTCAACTCTGGAATCTGACCGGACAGGGTATTGTGGGAAAGATTTATTATACTCATAACAGGTGAATCACAAAAGTTTGGAGGAAGTTCACCAGAGAAGCCATTAAGAGAAGCAGAAAATCTGTATAAGCTCTTTACCAGGCCAAGACCCTGAGGGATTTTACCAGTAAAGCTGTTATTATCTATCTGAACTTGCTCCAACTGAGCAGCCATTGATATTGAATCTGGCAATGCCCCAGAGAACCTATTGTTTTCAGCTCTGACGAGCATAACTTTGGGTAAAGACCATAATCCATTAGGGAAATCACCATAAAACCCATTGTTTTGAACTTGAAAAATCTCAAGATTCAAACAATCAGAAATGGAGTTAGGAATTGAACCATTGAAGAAATTTGTATGGAGACTGAGAAATTTAAGGCCTTTTCCATCACATATGCCACTTGGAAATGACCCAAAGAGCTTGTTCTCTGAGATGTCAAAAGACACCAAGTTCTTTAGAGAAGAGCCCAGTGTTTGTGGAAGCTTACCAGTCAGATTGTTCTGAGAAAGGTCCAAAGTGGTCAAATTTTGTAAACCCACAAAAGATTCAGGGATTTCACCGACAAAACCAGACCTTTGCAAAAAGATCTGCTCAAGTTTCTCAAGCTTCCCAATATCAGTAGGAATCTCACTCACCAAGTAAGCATTTTGAGACAAATCAAGGACAGCAAGCTCACTAAAATTGCCAAAAACAAAAGGAACAGTACCTGAAAGCAAGTTGCTTCCCAAGTTGAGCACTTGAAGATGCATCAATGACCCAATAGTCTCAGGAATCTTCCCTTCAATATGATTTTTGCTCAAATCAAGAACTTTCAAGGCATCAAACTGAGAAATCTGATCTGGGATGGTACCCCAAATGAGATTGTTACTAAGATTCAAAGTCTCCAAAGAACTACACTGAGAGAGGTGTAGTGGGATAGGCTGATTAAAAAGGTTATCAGCAAGGTTAAGATGAGACAAATACCGTAGCTCACATATTGAAGATGAAATTTCGCCAGAGAGATTCAAGCTTTGCAGGTTAATGGAAGACACAGAGAATGAAGGAGTAGGGCAAGTAATACCAGTCCAGTTACAGTGATGAACAACTGAAGTATTTGACCAACTGGAAAGAGAGTTCATTGGGTCATCAATGACAGCCTTAAAATTAAGAAGGGCATCAGCTTCAGTTGAAGCTGAGCTAAACATGAAGAACGTGAAGCTAATGGAGAGAAGAAAAGGGTATATGCAGACTGTAGCCATTGAAGGGGACTGAAAGAGCTTGGTTTGGCTGTTTTCAGTGATTCCTATATAGCCTGTGAAGTGAGAGAGAGTATAACTCAGAGAAATGGATTGGTATGATGTTGATAGGCTCGTGGATATCTATGCAAAGCTGAAAAGAACTCAAATCTTTTTTTTTCTTTTGCATGAAACTGAAAAGGGAAAATGGCACTGTCATTTTGAAACCTTTTGCCATTTTTTTTGTAAAATTTCTGAAAATTTGTAAAATATATATAGCTAGAAACAAAGATTACAACTAATAATTATATAAGTGATAAAAACAAATAAAAATAAATTAAAGAAAAGAATATTCATTTAAGAAAAAAATCTAACTGTTCTGCTTGGTCTGATATATGGACAAGCAAAATTAATTAAACCATACAAGGAGTAAACTGACTGAGTCAACTGGGCATTTATTGTTTTGGACCTACACACTTACCACAGTTTATATTTACAACTCCAAAGAATTACTGCAGAAATCTCTGTAGTGAACTTTACTAATTTATTATATTTATTGTACCAAAAAAAATCATGAATAAAAAATTGACATTTTCTTTAGATTTCCAAATCTAAAGTAACTTTCATTTTTCAACATTTCTTTTGATTGAATTTATTTTTTAATTTCTCGTGTACATTGTCCCATAATTGATTAGTGAATTAGTAGTAATAAATACGTAGGAATTGTGAATTGTGGTTGGTAATTTTTTAATTAATAACCTCTCTTGCAAGTATATTCATTTTAAGTTTATGAAAAATTACTCAATTGGTCATCAAAGTTTTTTAATTTTTTTCAATAATTGTTAAGTATTTTTCATTTACATTAATTAAATCTGATAATTTATATATTTATATTCTGTAAAATATTAAAATATTTATATTTTATATAAAATTATATCATAATTTATGTCAATATAAAAATATAAAATATATATTTTTTTAATTTTATTAAAATTATATATAATTATTATTAAAATTTTAAATCATATTATTTTTATATTTTATAATATATTTATATTATTATATTATATTATATTATATTTTAAATTATTCAATCTATCACTAAATATATAATTTATTATATAATTTAGTGTCCATTTAAATTTCATCATATTTTCGATGCGATATAATTGAATTTATCATATTTTAATTAAATTTAAATATTAATTTTAATAAAATTTATTTAATATTAATTTATTATTATTATTTTTTAATTATATATATAATATTTTTTTATTATAATTATAATAATAATTATTATTATTTTTAATTTCATCATAATTAATTTTACGATTCATTCGAACGAAGGCTTAAGCGACACTCCAACCGTGGAATGCTTTTAATCACAAAAGATAGAAGACATGAAATGTCAGGTTTGAATTTCCTTAGTGCCTCAATAATGCACAATAATTATAAAGTTAATGGTTGAAAAGTGAATGGCCAGGCTAGAAAAAGCAAAAAATACAAAATATTTTGCGATCAACGTAATAATTTAGAATAAAAAATTAAATTCCCGGTTCTGTCTATAAACACGTTTTGTGATTTAGTTTGGCTCACCAACTCAAAAAGAGAATAAAATATCAGACCCAAAAACAGCAAACTAGCCAGAGGACTCAACTTCAAATCTCGAAAGACAACTGCTACAAAAAAAAAATAAAAAAATAAAATGAAAATTTATATTTTTTTTGTGATAAAAAAATTTTAAAAATAAATAAATTATTTAATTTTTTAAATTAAAATAATATGTGTTATATCTAATAATTTAAAATAAATAATTATAAATTATATATTTGAGATAACCTCAAAAAATAATCATCGATAAAATTTAAATAAAAAATTTTTTCGTCAAAAAAAATGAATTAAACTAATTATTTATTAATAAAAATTTATAATTCATGTCACGAAAATAAATGTTCTCGTGAATAAACATAGAATAACTCATAATGGACTTTGATGCCTCCGTAGTTTTATTTGAGTTAAAATCATATATTTAGATTTAATTTATATATATAATTAAATTAAATAAAAAAACTATTGAATCTATTAAATACGAAACTAAATCGAATTAGATAAAATTGTGTCAATGTGTTAAGTTATTTTGAGCATAAATTTTATTATTTAATTATTTAAAAATATTTTTTTCACGTGACGAGCTATGAATCTTTGACGCTTTAGCTTTGCATTAAAATCTTATGGCAAGTCAAGTACATGTATTTATTAAATCATTATTATATTTAACATTTATTAGGCGACAATTTGGAGATCCCATTGGTCCAACCTCCGATCTGATTTAAAAAAAATTTGATAGTTCATGTACAAGTTATTGTATGTGAAAAAATATTTAGGAAGATAAATATTTTATGGTATAAATTCAAAGTCTTGTTGGATTTGAATAAAAATATTAAATGGATTAAATTAGTTTAAAAAAATAATGGAGTCTATTTAAAAAATGGATCAACCCGGATTTTAACATTCAAATCTCAAATCTGGCTTGGCTTGCAGGTTCATATGATAATTACAAAATATATATTACTTTATATATTATATAATTTACATTAGATAAAAGATAAATATATATAATTTTATGATGTAAACATTAGAAAATTTATTAAATTATCAACATTTTAAAATTTTAATAAAAGAAAAAAAATGCTAAAGATTAAATTAAAATTAACATAATTTTTTTTTAAATGAATTATTTGGATAAGTTTGAATTATATATTTTTAATCAAGACAAATTTAAATAAAATTTAAGATTCAAAATATCAAATCGAACAAGATTTGAGAAATCTTGTAAGATATTAATACCATGTTTAGGAGTGGCCCATGCACCCTTCTACTGCAAACTCTTATAATGAACACCATGTGTTACATTTGAATCATGATTGTAAAATTCGATAGCACTAATTATAACTGTTGGAGAAAAGAAAATTACAAATAACAGTAATGAACTCAAAATAATGAGACTTTGTTTGTCAAATAACAATGTATTTCTTGACAAATGCAAAACGTTTAAAATTTATTAAAATAACATACAAAATTTTGAATTGGAAGATTACTAAAATTTTGGGTCCTTAATTGATAGGAATGAAATGTGAAATCTTACAATTTGGTTTTATGTAAAGATTAGTACCTATGAGTTGATTTTAGTTTATAGATTTATATTTGATACATTATCAATATATAAATATTATATATTGTCAGTGAATCAAATGATATCACTTCATTAATAAGGTGAATTAAATGATGATATCTTGTTAATAATTAAATTTTTATATATTTTATTTTAAAAATTGATATTTATTTATTAATAATATGATATCATCTAATTTAATAATAATGTATAAAATCTGTACACTGATATTTTATTAAATATAAATTCATTTGTTATTAGTACTTAATTCTTAATAAAAATCTTTCAAAAGAGGTAAAAGAAAAAAGTAAAAATCGAAAGAGAAAAAATAGTGCATTAAAAATAGATTAATTATGAAATTTAGGTGAATATGGTAGTGATTAGTGGTTTAGTGACATAGAAAAAATCTGTAGGCACCAAATTCGTATTGATTTGTTTAATCCCAATTTGATATTTAATCTGTTTTATTTATTGTAATGTTACAATAAACAATAGGATAAGGCTACTAATATTCATAAAATTAGACTAATTTTATCAATTACTTATAAAAATAATAAATAAAAATTTTATTTAATCTTAATTTTAAAATATATAAAATATTAATATAAATTAATTATTAAATACTTTAATAATAAATATAATTTAAATTAACAAATTAGATTTAAATTTTAAAAGTAGCCCTCTCACATTTTTTTGTTTTGTTTTGCTGGAAGGGAATTGATTTAGAGGGATGGTTAATTATTTTCACAAATTGGTAATGATTTGTTTAACTTCTTACCTTTTGTTTTTCCACCCAATGGCATGTTGTGCCATAATTATTGATTGATTCATGAAATTTAAGAAAATTTGGAAACATTAGTTGTTGAAAAATCAAGTGGATGTTGGAAAAAAAAAATGTAAAATGGTGGGTGAGAGGTGGAAAATGGTGTCCATTACCACCACTTGATGTGGTATTGACATCAGAAATGATTTTATTATTTCTATAATTTTTCCTTTGAATTTTTTGCAAATTGACTTTTGAAAAAAGTTTTGACTCTTTTAAGCAAAAGTGTAAAGTTAAAAGGACAGTAATTATTGCAGACGCCTGCCGTAAAAGCATCCCAAGAAACTTGGTTACCATCTGGCTTTGCAATAATTATAAAAAAAATATAAATTTAAAATATATTTTATCAAAATTTGTTTAATTAAAATATTTTAAAAAATAAAGATCCAAATTAAAAAAATTAATTGTGACAATTTAACTCAAACAAAGAGATTATTTGTTATCTGCTCTGTTGGTACTGACTGGTCAACTCATCAAGCCATGCCTGGGAATGATGAAATTATAGTTGAGAAAATAAACACTTGTTTATCATATAATTTAATCAAATAACTCCTTACTGTTTCCTCTGCTTAATCAAAGACTTAGAATTTATAAATGTCAACCAATTGAAAGATGTGTTCAACCTTAAATTTTCACTAATCAACACCTAATTTAAATTAGTTATTAAGCATAAATTAATAATAAAAAAGGGTTATGGACGTGATCTCACACTTCAAGGGTCAACTTTTTAAGTAGGAAAATGAGTTAAAAAAAAAAGACAGAAGCATCCAAGGGTGAGTGAGAGCATCCAAGGGCAACGAATCATTTCATTTTATGAATAATAAATTAAGATTAGGTCAATAATCACGTAATTGTGTTAGCAAAATATTAAAATTTTAATTTTAATAATAAAAAAATAAAATACGACGTCTTTAAATATTTTAAAAAATAAAGAATAGAGAGGGGCAGGTGGGTGTTTGTGCTTTGGTTCGTTGCAAAATGCAATATTCCGTAAGATAAGATAAGGAGTCATCCAAGTCCCAACAAAAGATTTTAAGAGTGCCCTTTTTGTCTTTGAGGAAAACAAACCAAAGACATTAATGTTAAAGTATGAGGCGGGTGGTGGTGAGTGAAAGTTGGTCATGGTCATGTTAATCAATTTTTTACTTATTGCATTGAAGAAAGCTATGACAACAATAATTCATACACTTTCAATACCAACATTGCTTTCAGCAGAAGATGGAGGGCTGTGGGACATTTCTTTCTTGATTTAATTTGTTTTTCCATCATGCCATCTTCAAACCTTTTGCTTTCCATTTCCTATGGTTAATTAGTCAAGCTATATATTCCTAAAACTTTTTTCTGCATCTGAGAAAGAAATATACGTATATTTACAATCAAATTAAATGTTCGGATACCAAAGATCGAGATACTTTAAATACATAAGTATGGAGAGATTAAAATTTTAGGTTCAAAGAATTGTTGATCTTAAATGTGAGATACATGATTGATTGGTCAAAACCATGTTGTATACACAATTATGTTCATTATTGTTGAATAATTGTGATAGTAGCCAAAAGAGAAATTGATAATTAGGGGAAAAATAACCATCCATTCCCCTTGAAAGAGACCTTGCTAGTGGCTATTACATCCACAGAGCAGATTAGGGTTGCCGTCCAGTTCAAGCCATTGCTATAGCTTAATATCAAAATTTTCTACCTTCTTCCCACAATCTTCACCAGAAGACTCTGATTTTTCAGTTACCTTTACCCCCATCAGAAGCCAAGCTTCATGACTCCAAACAAGATTGGACAGCTAAATTAATTTACTTTCTGCCATATGAGGGCAAAAGCAATTTTAAAGCTCAAACGCATGATAGCTACTCATTTCAAAAATATTTGCCACTTGCTAAAATCATTTTCCGCACAGTTTTCATGCAGCTTAAATTTATTATTGTTATTATTATTATTATTATTATTATTATTTTAACATGGGGAGCAATCACAATCAAACAAACCAAAAAATCAACTCGAGAGGCCGAAAAGAAAAAGCATACTTTTCCATGGAAAACGGGTTGCATTTGTTTTACCTAAATGCTGAGTAATAGTAGCATCGGAGAGCATCCAATGAGATATGTAAATAGAGAAATTATTCGATATTTTATAAATAAAATTTTAATTTCACTAATAAAACTAATAAAGTGAGACATGTTTATTTTTTTAAATTAATTATTTTATTTAAAATATATACTAAACAATATATGTCATCCCTTAAACTTCGTACGTGGGTTAAAAAAATTTTACTATTAATATATTTGATAATTTCTTAAATAAATAAATAAGATCTTTTCACTTGTAAATTATTTTTAATTACAATCCTATAATTAATTAATCATAACAAAAAATTCTTTTCATATATTAGATTTATTTATTGAATCTAAATCTAACTTCAAAAAGTTACAAGAGTCAAAGCCATTGACATAGAAAAAAAAAAAACGGCTTTCTTTTATTTGTATTAAACTTGGATAAATCCTTGCCCGGCATTATCTATAATATAATATATACAATTATAAATATAACATTTATAATCTATATTTTATATTCATAATCTATATCTATTAATTATTAATAGCATATATTATTAATTATTTTGTAGCTTACAAATTCGATTTGATTTTTTTAACCTTTTTTTCCTTCTCTATTTTCATTCTATCAGAAAGGAGAGTTTGGAACTAGTTCAAATTGGATCCAATCCTGAGAGTTTGAGATGTACCTTAGAGACTGCCTTCACACAAGTTAATTGTTTCTCTCTATCAAGAATGCTTTTTACAGTATATATTTAGTGCAATTTGATATATTAAAGTTTAAAAACCCTTTTTTTAAAAGCTTAAAAAAGATTGTAAAAAAATTTGAAAAGCTTGATTTAAAATAAAAAAGTAAGAATATTAAATATTAACAAAATAAAAAAGACACCTAATCTTAAAGCTTCTTTAAAATAAAAAATGAATAAAAAAAGAGACTAGAAAATTCAAAAAACAGTTATGGAAGTTTTGCAAGGAGAAATATGCATCTTAACTCTTCAAGTAGGGCAAAACACTCCATTTATCAGTGCTACTAGAAAGAAATGCATACCACAAAGAAGCATTACAAGGTGATGATATCGTTGTCCATCAAACCAGCACAAATAAAGACTTAAAAACTGGGGCGAACGTTGCCAACCAATCGACAAGGAATATGGACTTCCATACACTGCATCGATGTCCTCCCTATCATGGACTTATTAACATTTATATCAATCAAGGGGACACCTAATGAGACAAGCAGCCAACTTACATAAACCTTCACTATGATGAGCTGAAGACACAAGGGGGCAGAAGGAGTAGGCATCATATTTCATTACACAAATCTTCACCTTGATCCTGGACTCTTAGATTTTATCGAGCTTCTCAGCCCTGACTACAGGATTGGCTTTAGCAATAGCATCTCGAGCTGCAGTCCTATAATCGAAAGGACAGTCATGTTTGTCGGAGTAACGATGAGCTGCACAGAAGAGGTTTCCACACCTACAATTAAATCCTGTCAAACCAACACGCTTACTGCATGTGGTACACCTGTTGGGAGCCTCTTTCGTTTTCATCCCACCAAAAGTCATTTTGGATGGATCAATGGACGGTTCTGCTGACACGATTTTTGACTTGATAGTTCCAGATTGTACATCCAAAGCAGCAGCCACAGCTGGTTCCTTACCATTCCCACTAGAGCCACCATTAACAATGCTTCCAATGGATGATGCTGCGAGTTGTGCCTGTTCCTGCTTCAGAATCATTGCCTTGTGACACTTGGAGCACATATTCATTGTAGCTGCACTTCCAAAGAAGCCACAGTTGTTGACACACAGGATTGGGCCTTCAGGAGCTTGGCACCCTGTCTCATCATGAGACTCCATCTTCTCTAATCTCCTGCAAGGAAACCACCTTAATATCAATATCCCAAAATAAAGGAAGAACACAATTATAAAAAAAAAGAAAAAGAAACGGAAAAGGAAGATTGGAAGGACCACAAGTGATTCAACTCCAATTGGATATCAATAAATGCTAGACAAAAACAAGTATGCCAACCAATGGACCTAGAGGACATGAGCACATACTAAACATGAAAATGATGAATTTAATCAATAAGAACTAGTAACTAGGACTGATTATCTCCATCATGATTCATGAATCAACATTATATCAGACACCACACATAAATACCATTGCTAATTGTAGGGATCTTAGGTGATGCAGATAACTAGTTTACTTACAATGGAGCCCTTAAAAAGGTAATACTGAATCAGCTGACAATAATACCAATCAAGGGCAAAAATGATGAGAACAGGTATGGGCAGCAAAGGAGGATATGTGAACATCAATATTCCAAGAAGCTAAGGGAGCAGGTGAAGGAGAAAACATCAAAAGGCTGCCAATACCAATAACACATATATCTAGTATGCAGCATCCTTGTTTATATCAGTTTAGCAGGATAACATGCTGGTGTTGCTGGGAACACAGGTTTCCCATTAACCATAAGTTCCGATACAAATCCCCAAACCAACATGCTTGCAACGGTATCCGTTATATCTATGTTATGCTCTAAACATGCTGCACAATCAGTGATTGGGTGCAGGCTGGCTCTCAGTCCCGCTTAATCATAGAATAAAAACATCTTTGCCACTGTTAAAAGGCAATGATTGCCAAACCACAATAGAGAAAATTAGTTCACTTCATGCAGAATTAAGCTAGGGCTCTTCACCTATATCTTCCTTCCATAGTAAATATTTTCTCACAAAAGTCATCATTTTTATGAATAACATTAGTCCCAGAAGCAAGCATATAATCCACGACGCCCTCTGGCTCATAATTAGAGGATATAAAACGATCTTAATCGACACTAAAGTTCTTAACCAGCAAACAGCAACAGCATACAATTTTCTGATTCCTCTTTAAAAAAAGGGTTCAATATATTTAGCAAAAACCCTAAAAACCCAATTGACAAAACTTTCCTAGCGCAAATCAATTACAATCAAATGAAAGGAAACCTAAATTACCAAAATAAAAGAGTAATAGAAAAATTTTAAATTTTAAAAAGAAAAAGAAAAAAAAAAAGACAACTGGAAGAGAAGCCTTAATCAAGAAAACCCCTTACCTGAAATTTTAAATTGGTCGATCTTATCTGACAAAATCGAACCCGGCGGTTGTCTCATGCAAATTAAATACACACACAAAATTCAATTTTAACATAGAAATTAATAAAACCTAATCCCTTTCTTCATTTTTCATTTCTAAACCGATAAAAAAAGAAAATTACAACAAGAGAAGGTGCAACAAAAGAATAATAAAAAGAAACCCTTACCTTAATCGGCGAGATTTATGTATGATAATCGGAGAAATCGTGACGAAAAATAGAGAAATTTTGGGTCATACGATTTTTTTTCTTTCCTTTTTCCTCCTATTTAAAAGCCTACTACTTTTTGGCTGCCAACAACACTTTCCACTGAGCCGGTGATTCTTGACTCACCGCCCTTGGGAAAGCCTGTTTACAATTCTACCCTTGATTGTAAATGACGTGGCTATTATTTATTGGTTTGAGATTAATCCAGCCTGTTGGGCTTAATTGAGCCCAAAAGGCTGAATCAAAACAAGTCTATACGGGCTTGAGTGGAGGCCTCAGGATCAGACTAAAAAACCCAGGCTCGCAATCAAACAATCACATCAACCGGGTCATATCTCACTTAGTGTGGGTCCCATCTGCCGTCATCGGCGCTAATACATTGTTCTTTCTTTATTGTGATGAAGCTGGATCGTAGATCGGTCCACAGCATATCCTCGACCGGCGGGAAATGGGCAAAGCGATGACCAAAATGGCGGGAAGGAATCAAAGCCTAAAAACTACACTATAAATATAGAAACCAAAAAAAAAAAAAAGAAAATTTATAATTTTGGTTAATTTGGCCTAAAATGGGAAAGAGAAAGAAATCTAGGGTTTCACGCGATGAAGAAGAGGAAGAAGTGGAGCAAGATGAAGAGGAAAATCAGTCTTTTTCAAATGAGAAGAGCTTATATGAGGTATTTCTATGTTTCGTGTTTTGATATTTGATCTTTTATTATTTGGACTTCGAAATTAGGGTTTATGGGTTGTTTTTACGTATGAGGAAGCTAGCTTTTAATTAGTTTAGAGAAATAGTTTATAACTTTATATTGGATTGGGCTTAGGTTGGAATTTAGAAAACAATTTAAGAAAACAAATGAAATGAAATGGATTATATATAGATAAGGGATTTAAGTTGAAATTTCAGTTTTGTTTTGTGGGTTCAATGTGACAACTGCTCCAAATATTTTCATTGTTTCATTCGAAGAGAGTTATTAAGGTTATTGGGTGGTTTAAACCATTGGCATTTCCATTGGAAATTTGAGCAACAGATGCCCTTTAACGACTGATTACTTGTAGGTTCTCGGTGTTGAAAAGACGGCATCTCAACAAGAGATTAAGAAAGCATATTATAAGTTGGCCCTGAGACTGCATCCTGATAAAAATCCTGGTGATGAGGTAAAAGCTGAAGTTAATTTGTGCGTTGCCGCTAGGTTTGGTTTGGTTGTGTGTGGGATTATACATGGAAGAATACTAGGGTAAAATTTGGTTCCTTTCATCTATTTGTAACACATCATATTGCTTGTACAGGAAGCTAAAGAGAAATTTCAGCAATTGCAAAAGGTGATATCCATTCTTGGTGATGAGGAGAAAAGGGCAGTCTATGATCAAACTGGTTGTGTCGATGATGCTGTGAGTAAATGTAGTTGGAGGCTACTGGAAGCCCCTAGGATATGGCAATATTCTGTTTCTTCTCAGCTTTTGTTGTGAAAAATGCATTCTTGGACTTCCTATTCTTATACAATGAATTGGTCGGTTTGTCAAATTTATTCCCTTACTAGTTGAGCATTATCTAATTTGTTTCTATTTATTTTGTTGGTCAGGACCTTGCTGGGGATGTCGTTGAGAATTTGAAAACATTTTTCAGGGCTATGTACAAAAAGGTTGTGACATTTGTTGACTCCTCTTCCCTTTATGTCATTAGAACTTTTGCTTTGTATTCCATCTCTTTATCAATGGTTTAATCAATTTCAGGTCACTGAGGCTGATATTGAAGAATTTGAAGCAAACTATAGGGGATCTGATTCAGAGAAGAAAGATCTAATTGATCTTTATAGGAAGTGCAAGGGCAATATGAATAAGTAAGAGAGGCTGTGTGATTTTTCTTTCCTTTAGGCTTTCCAGATTAATTCTGATTTGTTGCTTCATCGACAGACTCTTCTGTTCAATGCTTTGTTCAGATCCTCAGCTTGATTCACACCGTTTCAAGGATATGCTTGATGAGGCAATAGCTACTGGTGAGGCTTTCTTGCAGCTTTGATTTACATGCCGGCTTAGAATTATTCTGTTCTAGAAGTACAACTAAAATCTTACCTGGTTTTCGATTTAAAAATGGATGACAAAAGCCAATTTGATAAATTCTGGATCCTCTATGGTGAGATCTTTGAATACTGATTCCATTCTGTGTTTAAAATGGCATTGCTAAGAAACATTTTTCTAGAAATGATAAAAAAATGGATCCCATTTCATAGCTATTTGCAATTTAAGAATGGGTGAGCTACATTGATTATCCCACTAGTGTCTGAAATTGCCAAAATTAGGATTGTGGATAATTCTGAAGCCTATTGAATTCTTACGTCAACTGGATTCCACTTTATAGCTATTTTGCATTTTAAGAACGGAATGGCTAATTGATTATTCCATTGTAGTGTCTTAAATTACCAAAATTAGGATGTGCATAATTCTGAAGCCTATTAAATACCAACAGCTGTTTCTTGATGTATGATTTTTCGGTTTTATTAACTCTTTTTCTTTTCTTCTTTTCTATATAGGAGAATTGAAAGAAACCAAAGCCTACCAGAAATGGGCAATGAAAATATCTCAAATGAAGCCACCTACCAGTCCCTCGAGGAGGAAGGGGAAGTGAGTCTTGTACTGGGTCTTTTCTATGCATTTTTAAGATATTTACCTTAGCCAACTATGAAGTAAAATATTTTGCGTCGTTTTTGGTCGACTAACAGATCAACTAAACAGTCAGAATCAGACCTATTGGCAATTATATCTCATCGCCAAAGTGAGAGGAAAGGCCGGTTTGATTCTATGTTTTCATCACTGGTGTCCAAATATGGGGGTAATGCAGATTCTGAACCCACTGAAGAAGAATTTGAAGCTGCACAGAGGAAAGTTGAAAGCCGAAAGGCCTTAAACAAATCAAAGCGGAAGTGACATTAGGTCTTCCCTAGATTTTAATCTAGGATTGTTTCTGTAAACGGTTGGTAACTTGTCTTAATTATCTGAATGCAAATTGCCTTACCTGCTCCGAAGGAACATGGAAAGTTGCCTTTGTTCTAGTAACTCAAAAACGACACTGTAATTTGTATTTCTCGAGTTATCTGCATTTTGATGAAAGGCTTAGGATGCAGTTATATTATGCGTGCTTTGGCTTAAAGAACAACCAAATTGTCAAGTAACCTATCTGGTATCCTGTTGGTGAGTTATGATAAAGACTATTCCCCACCGCTATCATGAGCTGTAATAGCAAAGATTGGTTCGGTGATGATGATTAATAAGTAGCTATTTGATGTTGGATTCGAAGACAGCGTGTGCCGTGTGGTTTCGAAATGTATTTTATCAGCAAGATGGAAGCAGCTATATCTCATTGAAAGGAGAGGATATAAGTTACTTCATTTTTACTTAAGCTTAAGATGGTTTCTGTCCTTCAGTATATCTTAATAGAACAAATTGTTACGAAGAAATTTAAAGATCTACTACAAGGCTGGTAGAAGCAACCAGCGGAAGATTCTTCAATGGCAAAACGTGAGCACCATGAATTTGAAACCTTTATTTGCCAAATGCTGAAAGATCTGCCTGTTGCCCAAAGTTCAAAATGTGTTGAAAAGGGCTTTAAAAATTGCTCCAAGTTGTTTATTCGAAGGAGCAAAAAATGAGGCTAACCAACAGTTTGGTCTCCCCTTCCAGCTGTGGTAAGGAATGATGTGCAAATGTTGAAACCATAGCTTAGTTGCTGGCGAAAGCGCCTAGCTTAGAATGGAAAAAATGCTTCATTGAAAGTAGAGAGATGGGCCATTTTGTCTCTTCTTTCAAACTTTCATAGGTTTTCTGGAGTGGATTAAAGGACCCTTTTCCCTTTGCAGTCTTTTGATGCAGCTGAATTTTAGGGTCCAAATTTTGCGTTTGGTGTTTAATTGGGATCTAGGGACAGCACAATGTTTAATCTCATATTGTTAAAATTGTTAATGAAAATAATACTTGTTCCATCTTTAACATAATGTTTAGATGTGTGATATGTCAAGCTCATGTCTTTAATGTTTTAATTTTTCTCTTTGATGTATGATATATCAAAATCTATATTAGGTGAAAAATTTTCTTCAAAGAGAGAGAGAGAGAGAGAGAGAGAGAGAGAGCATCCTTAACTAGATCTGGATTATGGGAAAAGAATATGCATAATAGCTATGGGCCTAATACCTTTATTGTTTTGACGGGAAAGGTCAGACGAGGCGTTTGTTTATCTAGGTTTGTACTGTCTCTTGAATTAAGCAACAGTATAACTTGGTGTATAAACCCCGGACAGTAAGAAGCTTTGCTGGATTGATGATTCTATTTCCAACCCAACATTTTTAATTTTTTATATTATCATCAAATGACTCAAAAACAAAATGATTATACCCAATTAGTGATTCATATTTTCATATGATAAAGGTGCACATTATGAAATTCTTTTGCAGTCTTTGAAAAACGTTTAAGCCTATCCATCAATGTACCTAAAGCCAACCAAACAAACCTAAAATCCAGTGGTGCCCATCACACATGTACATAAAAACCCAAAAAGACCTAAAATACCCCTTGATTGAAACATTTTGGAACATTACTAATTTTTTTTTAAATGGGTTTATATATATTTTTTTAAAGATGGTGACATCACAACTACATGCTCGGAAACATTCCCTGGTTTTATTTTTGTTTGTGTAAGTAAGTGATCTCCCATGAATCTGTAAATGCAAGCAAAGCCTTTGCATTTTACGTTGGTCTTTCCCACACCTCACACTGTCCACTTGAATTTATTATCTTTCATCCCCTCTAAGCTATGTTTTTTTTTTTTTTTTTTGGGTAGAATTCTTTTAATCAAATTAATCAACTTTCCAATAAGATATTACAAGTATTAATTGGATTCCTGTGTTAGCTAATTCTTGACTTTGTCCTTCCACCACTTGAGTCTTCTCTTCCCCATTTCATTAATTAATTTGGTAAGCAAGTCATCAACTTTTTAATTATCTTATAAGTATTGGATGTTGCTTTTACTTCAGTTTGTCCATCTACTTCTATCTCTTTTCTCTTTCTCTTTCTCTCTTTCACTCATATTACACTGTGATATCATCATTGTCAAATTTAGCTTTACTCAACTTTGTGTGTTTCTCTTTTACCTATAAGATCATTACATTGTTTTGGAGAGCTGCAATAGTCTCAAAGCTTCGATCTTTTTCAACAATTTTACTCTGTATTTAACTTCTCTCTTGGGTAGCTGGGTTTTTTTTTTTTTTTTTTTTTTTTTCTGCAAATCTTCTTTCTGTTCGTTCTTTGTCTTTGCTTCAAATTTTGGAACTTGGCTTTTTCTTTGCTTATTAACTTGTTTTAGCTAAGATTTCTGAAATGGGTTTTTATTTTTATTGATGAACAAAAGACTGGATCTTTCATCTTTGTTCTTTTGAAGGTCTCGATGGAGAGTGATAATGGTGACGGCAAGTCCAAGATGGAAGACTATGAAGTTGTAGAACAGATTGGAAGAGGAGCTTTTGGAGCTGCTTTTCTTGTTCTCCATAAACTTGAGAAAAACAAGTATTTTCTCCTTATTTTGTTTCTAGTTGCAACTATTTTTTCCCCTCACTTACCTTGAGGCTTGATCTTAAGAGGAACATTCATTAGAAAAGTTTGAGGAAATGATATAAAGTTTCTTTTTTTTTTTTCATAGTTCCAGGCAATAAATTTCCATGGGATTGTTAATGGTAGGTTGTTTTAGTTATCTTACTAATGATTTTCTGGAATGCAAAAATCAAGATTTTCTGTGATTGGTTATGCAACAAAGCCAATATTCTGAATATGTGGCCTTAATTTCATTATTGTAGCTGTCGGCACGGTTCCTCGTCTTTTAGCAATTATTGACTTTAGCTATCATTTTGTATTATATCTTTTACTTTTCTTATTTTGTTAGGTATGTGTTGAAGAAGATTCGCCTGGCCAAGCAAACAGAGAAGTTTAAGCGTACAGCGCACCAAGAGGTCCTTTCTTAAAAAAATTTCCTCATGGGAGTTGTGGTGAAAGTTGCATAGATTATTCCATGTGAATTAGGATTTAGATATTTTAATGTTGATTAACCACATTGCTTTTTGTTCTTTTCCGGTCCTCTTGGTCATGAAATTAGCTAGACCAGTTAAATTTCACTTTCAGTATCTTTGTTGTGTTCAGTTTCTTATGGTTGAATGAAATGCCACTCTAGGATCTTAATTTAGGAAAAGTTTTGGTTGTGGTGTGTCTATGTTTTGTTCAACAATCAAACTTTTTATTCATGCGATGACCCCTAAGTCGCACATCTTTATCTACCCAATAGGATGTTCCATGCCCTGAATTGGCTCCATTTTCCATCCTTGTGGCCTCTTTGAAGGTTGTGATCTTCATTTTTTTCCTTTTAGGGCGAGTTATATTTTTATTTACAAAGACTATATGGATGTTTCACATATTCTCCTGTTAGATGTGACCTCTTTGGTCTTTCTGATAATAAATTATTCACACGTAAAACACATTCCTGGAAACTGAATACAAGCAGTCAATCAATGGAATCATAAAAAACTGGACAGCGGGAAACAGTCTGAAATTATGTTCATACTGGTATGACAATCCAATTGCCACTCTCACCCCCCCCTTTTTAACCATATTTGTCCATTAGTTATGGTGTCTGCGAGGGTATCTTCTCTTTATTTGGGTGGAATATTAATCTCAAATAATCAGTAATCTCATATGTAGCATATATGTATTATCTGCCAAACTAGGGAATAGCCTTCTCATCTGAACATTTTGGGTTTGAAGATTCCTAGTTGATTGAGAAAGGATTTATTATAGTTAGGCAGAAATGTCTTCACTTATCCAAAAATAAGAAAGACCCTCAAAACTACATGTAAAATTGATGCCAAATAAGACAACAAAATGTCTAGATAGCTTATTCTTTGATATCTAAATATTTTTTCACATCTCAAACCCAAAACACCTTAATTCATCTCTAGGCAGTCTATGTTTGAGAATGTGTCTCTCAAGATGTGCTTTTGTTGCATTGCAGATGGAATTGATTGCAAAATTGAATAATCCATATATTGTCCAATACAAAGATGCTTGGGTCGATAAGGTGAAAGGATTATATCACTATTTTATATTGACATTGGATATTGCAGAGTTGCTGTGCAATATTTTAATTTATATTCTTGAGACCGTGACTGACTCTTCAATAATTTTTTAATTTGTCTTCATGCTTATTAGGGCAACAACAGTATATGCATTGTAACTGGCTACTGTGAAGGAGGAGACATGTAAGTTACCACAAAAAAGAGTCATTTGTTAATAAGATTATGATGGAATATCCAAGTTCTTTAAGCGTCTTTAGCACTTTCTAGGGAATTTTTATGCTCATAGACTGCAGTAGTATAAATTTTTGTCTTTTTATGTGAGTGGAAAAACTTCCTTAATTATTGTGAAGTAACATAATTTATCATCACTAAAGTTAACTAGTAGGATTTTATGGTCAGCTGTAGATGTAAGTAACATAAATTTATCTTGGCAGATTGGTTAAGAAGTGATTAAAAAACTGAATATTTCTTATCTTCAACTTTTTAATCTTTCAACAGAAACAGTCGAGATGAAAAGAATAATTTCTCACCAGTAAAGTTAATGAGTGGGATTTAATAGTCAGCTGTATTGTATGTTTTATTGATTGTCTGCTTTTATTTGATTACAATGTAACTAAATAGTGATTCAGGAAGAAAAAAAGATAGCAGATTCTGTCTGATGCTTATGAATGACTAATTGGGGCACTGACATTTTTTGTTGGAATCAGGGCTGAGCTTATTAAGAAGGCCAGAGGTATGCACTTTCCTGAGGAGGTAATACAATATTCCTACAATTGAACTACTTATATACAAATGCTAGAGATGGTATTCACCCTTTTATTGTTCTCTTTGGCTCCCTAGAAAATCTGCAAATGGATGACTCAATTGCTGTTGGCTGTGGACTACCTGCACTCAAACCGTGTTCTTCATAGGGATCTGAAAGTACTGCTTCTATCTTCATCCCTATTATGAAGAAAAACTCATAAATAATCGCGCTAGGCTCTAACTTCTATTTTATCTCAGTGTTCCAACATATTCCTTACGAAGGACAATGACATCAGGCTTGGTATGAAGGCAAAAGGATTACTGTAAAAAGACTCCTTTTTTTGATGTCAGGTTTGCCCTCCTTTTTTTGATGTCTTCTAAGATATGTATGTCTTATATGGACTGTACAGGTGACTTTGGACTTGCAAAATTACTTAACACAGAAGATCTTGCTTCCTCGGTATGTACTTGCGCTAATCCTATTTAGCAAATTTTCTTGGAAAGTTTTCCTTAAAAAACCTTTGATTCCTCAAATTTAGGCTGTGTTAGAACTCCACCAATGCAACAATTTTTTATTTGCAAGTACTTCTAATTTATTTCTGGTTGGAATAGAAACAGTTATTGTTATTAAATGTCTTGGTATTTTTGGTTATGGAATTTGGGATTCACTCAAATTCTTTTCTATAATCTGGAAATTCTCAATAGGTTGTTGGCACACCCAACTATATGTGTCCCGAGCTCCTGGCAGATATACCTTATGGCTATAAATCTGATATATGGTCACTTGGTAAGAAGTTCAAAGCATGATTGTGAGATACAAAATCTGTTATACTTTTAACTAGGAGTGACATAAACTCATTATTCCAGGTTGTTGTATGTTTGAGATTGCTGCACATCAACCAGCATTTAGAGCTCCTGTGAGTTTTTTTAACATGAGCAATATGACATTACCTCAGTATTCTTTGACTACCATCAAGTTGTGTGTGAATTATTTTACTATGGATTCTATAGTAAACTAAAGTCATTGACAACTCAACAGGATATGGCTGGACTCATTAACAAAATCAACAGATCCTCCATTTCTCCTCTCCCAATTTTGTATTCCTCCACACTGTAAGCATCTTCTTCCAACTGATTATATATACTAGATGTTTCTTGATGACCAATCTCATCCATATAATCATTCTTGGACGTATTAACTTAACATCACTAATCATTGTTATTTCATTTCATTTTAAAAAATCTAATGTATGTAGAAAATGAAATAACTACATGTTTCAGGAAACAAATAATCAAGAGTATGCTAAGGAAGAACCCAGAACTTAGGCCAACTGTGAGTGCAAGTGACCCTGTATTTAGCTTTCTAGTTTTAAACACTACTTTCCATACTGATCCCTGAGCATTCTGATATTTTAGGCTGCTGAACTCTTAAGGCACCCTCATTTGCAGCCTCATCTCCTTCGCTGCAGAAACCTGTCTTCTGTTTATCTTCCAATAAAGCCCACAAACAGCACAAAGGAGAAGTCACCTAGAAAATCATTGTCCAGCAAACCTGCCATTGCAAAGGACAGGGTGTTTAAAGATGCTGGGGTATCAAATGGACAAGAAAATATACAGGCATTTCCGAGAATGGCAGATTTACACTTAAGCGGTTCTCCAACCTGTGACAAGCAAACATCCACAGCTAGTACAGAAGACAGCCTTGTCACTAAGAGGGTTGATCCTACTAGCTGTGCTGTCGAAATTTCTAACTCTATAAGTGATTCCAAAGACATATCCACTGATTCTGAAGTGAGTGTTAGCAATGGAGACAAACAGGCTCAGTTTAACATCAGTCCTCAAAAGGATGCTGATGTGGAGTCAACTTCAGAGATGGCATTCAATTCTCAGCATGATGAACAAGAAGAAGAACCCACTTCTGAGATCATTCAAAATTTACAGGATGGTGATATCAAGTCTGTAAGTCGAAAAGATGAAGAGACTTTTTGTGACATGCAGGTTCTCGAAGAAGCAGCAAAAGAGGTTCTTGACGTGCAGGTTCTTGGTAGATCAGGGGATTCCAGTAAACTAACAATTTCCAGTATAAGCTGTGATGATAAAATTGGGTTCCCTGATGATGGAAGTTCATCATCTACTGTTTATGAGACTGACGTAGAACGAAGATGCTCTTCAAATAAAACAAGTAGTCCTAATGCAAAAACAGAAGGTGCCGACACCAACTACTTGTCATCAGAAAGTAATGTACTTCCATGTAAAGATGAAGCAGGAGCAACATCAGAGAATAATACTACCTTTCAAACAGAGAAAGATGGTGCCCAACCGATTCAATTGACACCAAGTGATGTGTCGTTACTGAGTAGACTTACAGCCTTGAGTGGTGATGAAATTAGGAGTGTGTGGGAGAATCCAAGTCAGCAAAGAGCTGATGCTCTGGAGTCTTTGCTTGAGCTATGCGCCCGGCTTCTTAAGCAAGACAAAATTGATGAGCTTGCTGGTGTGCTACGACCATTTGGGGAAGAAGTTGTCTCATCAAGAGAGACGGCAATTTGGTTAACAAAGAGCCTCATGTCTGCCCAAAAGTTCACGGGAGGAACCTGATGTTCATGATTTGTGCTTGGCATTAATTTATTCATTATTGCGAGAAAATGGTTTTTTGCTTTTTTTTTTTTTTCAAAATGTCTTGACATAACGTGTTTGTTCAGAGTGGTTTGCTTGAAGAGAAGATAGTAAAGAAATGCAGATTGTTGGCTCACGGGTGGTTTTGATGGAAATATTGAAGCCATTCTTAGTACTTTTCAATGTTCCAAATCAAATTTTTGTTGGATGCTATGGAATGAGAATTTATCAAAATCAAAATCCAGAAACAATAATTCTTAAAATCAAATCCGCAAACTATAATCAACTCAGAAGTCAGGAGTAACAATCTCCATCCAATATGCATGCAGTGACAAGCTCATGATTTTGAATTTCTTTCCAGCTCAAGAAAAGGCATCAGGTTTTAATATGATTAAAGCTACCTGTCAAATTCCAGACAACTCCGAAGCAACTCTTAATGGCATGATTTTCTTTTGCTTCCAACCTCCATAAAATTCGTTCTTCTTTCTCTATTATAGGTGTTGCTGAATTATGTTTCTAATCTTCCAATCTACCAAACATTGAGCGCTTCTCATAGATAGCAGTTCCTGATAGATGGAGCAATTTAGCCTTTGATATATATATATATATATATATATAGAACCCTTCATTTTTTAAAGGAGATGTAAAAGTTGATCTGAATTTGATAATATTAACCTGGCATCTAATGACCTTAATTTGCTTAATTTTCAGAAACATAAAACATAAAAATAACTTTTTATTGCAAAGAATCATAAAAGGAATTCATATTGTCATATATAAAAGAAGTGAAGAAAGAATCTTCAATCAATTGAACCCAAGCAAATAAATTTGAGCCTAATAATTAGGTTACATTATTAATCCTCCACCTTCTTGTACAATACATATGTTTTCATAGATTTACTGCAGGTAGTAAGCGAAAAAAGATACAAGGGAGGCCCCGACCAAGGACCCAAGAACAGGCAAGGGTGAGGATGCGGCGCTGGAGGCTGGCCCTGGGGCAGCAGCTGGGGCGTCAGTGGAGGCCATGACTGCGCTCATGGAAGCGGCGACAACAATGACAGCGCAGGAGATCTTCTTCATGTCCATAGTGATCAAGAATAAGCTAAAAGAGACCTGCCTTTATTCGGTGACGAAAATGTGATTTCGTGATTTTATTTTCTTTATTATTATATTTCTTTTTTGCAGGTCTGAATGAGAACGAGGGCCAAGGGGGGTTTTAAAGGTGAATCCAAGGCTATTTTTAGGAAGCAACGGTTGTAGTCAGCCTAAAAAAGGGCTTTACGTGTTTGGTTTTGCATGGTTTGAGGACTGAGATTGGCATGCCAGATTTGGAATAATTTGCATCCCTGAATTTGTGATGGATTTTGTCAAAACCAATAAAATCTTGCTCCTTAAATTTTGCATTTTCTGTTAAACATAAAGACAATATCAATTTGAAAAATGCCTTACATAAATTTATTACTCATTTGATTATTTTCTCTTTTGTATTAAAAAAATATTATATTTTTCTTATATATATATAGTTAACAATTAAAATTTGATATATTCCCACATAAATAGCTAGATAGCTTGGCCTGCCAGGTTTATTTGATGCAGAACCAGCTGCAGTATAATAATTTTTATCAAACTGTCCCTTCCATATGCTTAATTTCCAAGATACATGATAATCTGGTGCGCTGCCAGTCTTTCCTTCAAGCACTCAAAATTGTTTTTTGATCAATTAAACTTTAATTAGACCAAATATCTATAAATCAAATTACCTCACAAATTCTTTTCAGTTTTGCCCTTGTGGGAATTGCCTTTTTTACTATAGTATGTATTTGTAATTTTCAATTATAAAAAGTCCCAGCTTTCACCTAAAATTTGTTGTTTCTAGTACTATTTCTCTACAATATAATGACTAAAGAGTTTGCACCAATGGTGGATGCCATGTTTGTTTCGAATACTTGAAGTTTCCTATATTAATATTCAGATTTGACAAAGTAAATAAAAAGGAACAATCCAGTCCAGACAAGACATGGTCCACAGAAAGTGACAGGTTTTGTAACTTCAAAGAAAACAGATGGAAACTCAACGGCTAGTTTTCCTCGATAATATTTTTCCAACGCGTTGCCCTTCAACAATGGCTGCTTACCTTCTTTTTTGGGGTACACATACACACACACCCACCTAATTTCATAATTAACACAGTTAAAGCAAAGACATCTCACCTTAGCAATTGTTAATCATTATTATCATTGGTTGCCTGTGATTATTATAATAATCAATCAAGGACACATTCCCATTGCAATGGAAAGGACACACCATGTTCCCTTAGTGGAAGAGGTTGATGATGCATTAGCCATTTTGATGAAGGAACCTTGAAGAAGTAAACTTTTCTTAATAATTTAATTAGAATCATTATTTTGTATTTATTATTCAAATTAAATAATTATATGACAAATGCATGATTTTAAACACTGTTGGTACATACTATAAATAGATTGGAATATCCCCAAGTGATTTTAGATTCGAAAAATTAATTATGATTTGGATTATTTTAAACAATGCAATTCGTCTTTTTGATATAATAATGGGATTATTTTATAATAAATCATAATTTTATTTATCCATTCGATGTTAATTGGTTTTTCATCGATGTAGAAAATGAAAGAAAGAAGAAAAGAATGGATAAAACTTAAAAGAAATAAAAAAAAAGGATTGGGGGTCCAAAACCTTCATGTGTCCCACGTATCAAACTGAAAGTTCAGAAAATTTTACAATTACTCCACAACAAATTTAGCTGGCCAAAAGGGAATTCTCACCGGTAAGAAAACATTCATAAAAATAGAGTACCCGAAGCCACACTAGAATTCCTCCAATTGCTTAGTCCCAAAATCAAGTTTGATATGCTACAGAACGTTTTGTGGGTGTCCACAAGCCGTAACCTAAAAGGCATGGGAAGGAAATTTGTTACTATAAGTTTTCACATTCGTGCATCCGAAATTTGATGGCAATTTCACATAACAAGGAGACACCTATAAATTCTAAGCTTAGTACATTTCTACAATTCATACATAAAACCAAACAATTCTAACCTGAATTTCCCTTCTCTCTCTTTTGTGTGTGAATTTAGTGTCAAGCGTCAATGGCACGGTTTGGGACCTCTGCAGCTCACATTGTGATGGCAATGTTTGTTGTGGCACTGTTTCATGTATCCGGGATCATGGCACAGGATACCGCTCCATCTCCGGCGATGGACACCGGAGCAGGGTTTACTTTGCCGGTTACCGGTGTGTTGGTATGTTCTTCCATATTGGTATCTTTAATTGCTCTCTTGTTGCAGTGAATTAAAAACTTTCAAGACTATGACATGCCACCCTTTCACTTACTGGTGATGATTTCATGAGGAGAGACCTCTATTCTGCTCGGATTATTTTTAATTTCTGTTTTCAAATTTTCACAGATCTTTGTGTTTTATTAGTGGAATATATATAAACTTGATTTTGTAATGTAATTGCTGTGATTGATTATCATACATAAATAAAGGGGAGTGATCCTATTTCTTTTGTGTCATGTTACGCTCAAGGTGTGAAATTGAAATGGTACTGAAATTTTGCAAACCCTACAATCTGCCAATTGCAAATTTGTTAATAAATTACCGTTCTTAAGATTTACAAGCAAATGTGAGGAGTAAACACTTCTTTCCCTTAGATAATATATATATTTTTTATAAATATCAATGGCGATCTCCGTTGTATCTTTTACAATTTAATGGGATGTTAAGTAATTTTATCTCATTCTATAAATTTCTTTTTGTTCATGGCAAAATTGGAACTCAAACCCTTTAAATTTGAAATCTTAAGGTTTTTTAACTCTTACATTAATAATGATCGAAAAATATAAGAAAAATTTTTGGTCTTTAATTTGCATTTAAATAAAATTTTAACTTTAAAAAAGAAAAAACAAAGACAATAAAAGAAACGAAAAAATATTTACATGAAATTTTATAAGTGAAATTTATGAAATTTCTTATTAAAAATAAATAAATTAAAATTAAAATTGAAAAATTAAAATCAATAGATTAAAAGATTTTATTACATAAATCAAGCATGTAAAATTTGAAAAAATTTTAATTAATAAAAATATTAACAGAATTTTAACTGTTGAATAAAATCTATAAATTTAAATTATAAATAATATTTTTAATTTATTTTACATATTATTGATTTTTGCATTACTTTATTAATCAATCGATTTGAATTTTTAAATACACAAAATTAAATTTTAGAGACGAAAATTGCACATTAAGCCAAATTGAGGTCTTAATTTGCAACTTTGACCTAAAAATTAAAGATTAAAATGTTCTAAAATATCTCCATTGGGCAATATACAAAACCACGGAAATGTTCAAGGTCCTTATGTATTCGTTGCATCAAAGAAAGAGGGAAATAGTTCCAAGAATCAAAATAGATAGCTACGCCGGTTGAAACAAGTAATTAAAATTTAGGATTTTGATGTAAAATATTTAAGTTTAAATTCTTACGATTTTGATTTGTGGGTCTAAAAATTTTCAAAAAATTTATAATTTTTTTTGTATATTAACTACTTACCTAATTTTAAAGATAAAATAATTTTCCTTGCTTTTGTTAGCTAACGTGGGGCAATGAATTTCTTAAATGCAAGATTTGGGTTGCTTCCCATATGTAAATACTCGATAAACTTACCAATCTTTGAATGCGTAAATTGCTATTTATTTCATTTTAGGTGTTTGAAATAATAAAGGATTTGGATTTTTGAAGATTTGGGTGTGTGAACTTGGAAAAGCCGACTACGTATGAGGTGAATGTATGTTATGAATTAATCGTTGGCTTTAGGCTTTCAACCCCACCTTCGTCCAAATTCCAACCCAACATTACATGAGGGCTTCCGTGTGGTTTACCGACATAGATTCGGACGACCAACTTCAAACGAAGGTGTCAATCTCCTATTGGCTTCCGCCCACAGACAGCAAAAACTTTCAACTTCACACCACACCACACAACGCAACACAACGCAACACAACGCAACACAACGTTCCTCGGTTCTGTTCACTTACCTTTTTAGCTGTTATGTGAACGTTACCCAGCTGTCACTCTCCTCTTCGTAGGCCCCACGCGCCGCTCATTCCTCCTATAAATACATTCTTTTCCCTTCCCCAACCCTAAACCAAAGAAAAGAAAAAGCCAAACAAACAAATTCTCTCACAATTTCGAGAATAGATAAACAGTTTTTTTTCTCATCTTCTCTCTTTCAGCAATGGCGCAAGTTAGCATGTTGAAGGCTTTTTTGGTGGCTTTGGTCATGGCATTCTTAACAGCCGCGTCGGCGCAGGTTAGCGAGGCGCCTTCTCCTGCCCCAGACGCTGGTGCTGGATTCTCAGTGGGCGTTTCCAGCATAGCTGTTGGCTTCTCTTTTATTGTTTCTCTTCTTGCTTTCTTGAAGCATTAAATTTAAGGGCTTGTTTGGCTCTTCTATATTGGTTGTTTTTCATTTTCTAGATTCATTCTTTGTTACTTCATTGTACCATTGTAATGAAGTTGATTCTTTGAATATAGCAATTCTAGTGTGATTTTCTTTATTTTGCGAAATTATCTTTCTTTTTGGCAATATTAATCAAAGCAATATTCCAGTATTCGAGCATTTTTCACAAACATAATTTGATTATTGAATCCAGAGGCCCATGCCTGCAGAAAATTTAAGTTGAGATTTGGCTTTTTTAAGTAAAATTAAATATGTGATATTCTATAATTCAATCATTAAATTCTGTTTTATTTTTTGTTATTTGTTTTTAATTTTTCATTCAAAATTTTTTGCCCAAAAAATCAAAATTGATTTTTTGCTTTTTCCTTTTTAATCTTTTTTTTTTTTGGCAAAAATAACAAAAAAGTAAAAAATATTTACCAAATGGTGCCTAAATTAAAACTTTTTGTTTGCGTATTAGCAAAAATAACCTTAATGTAATGCAGCTTTCTAAATTTACATAAAAAAAATTATATGCATCAAATAGTTTTTAGAATTAAAATAAATCTTAAAAAAATTATTGATTTACTTGCAGATAAGCAAATTGACACTGTTATTGATATGGATGAAGCAACCGGTCCATCTCTAAAATTTTGACCTCTTTGTTCAAAATTATATTTATTATCAAATATTAAAATTAAATTTCTTGGATTGATAAAAATGTTAAAAATATTTTTATATCAATATCTTAAAATTAAAATTAAATAAAATTGGTTATTATTTAAATATTCAAATTAAGCTGGCCTTATATCTAAAGGTCATGTCTTGGACCGGATTAAAAATGGGCTAGGCCCATGAGCCTAAAAATCTATCCAATTCCGATCAGTGAATAGATTGGGTTATGATTATTTCATTTTAATTATTAATAATACATTTTTCACTAATAAAAATATCTTGAAATTACACCTCAACACGATCACAATACTTTCCAATTAAGAGGTTTTGAATTTTAATTTTAACTATAATACTAACAAATGGTTAGCTCAATTAATTAAAATTTATCTATTTTAATATAAAAATTTTGAGTTTGAATTTTATATTGATAATTCATTGAGATTATCTTAAATGTATAATTTATAAATATTTATCTTAAATTATTAAATATGACATATCTTAACTTGAAAATTGAGTAACATATTTACTCTTTACCAAAAAAATATATATACAATGATAAAATTTACAACTATTTTTCTTTACGTAAATCAAATCCACGGAGTCATCCTTGTGCTAAAAAGAAGAAAGAAGCAAGATTAGTTGCACAATCTGGATCATCGAAGAAAATATACAGCATCATCAATGCATCAAGTCATCAGCATTCATGCATGGTCTCAAGCTCAAACAAAAAAAAAAAAAAACTTATTCAATTAATCACGTCATTATTCATAAAATTAAAAGGAGAAAATTAAATCACATATTCAATTACATTCTCTCCATTCTCTTTTTTTTTTTTTTTTTAAACACTAAATGTTAAAGTGTATTTTGAAATCTTATCATTAGAAAAAACAATCCAACCTGAATTTGGTGGGTTTTGACTTTGATTCAACCTCTTAAGGTTTTTTTTTTTTTTTTTTAAATTGGGTATATGGTCAAGTCATATAGAGTAATAATAAAAAAAAATTAGGATAAAGTTTTAGACAAATTCGACTTCATATATATAATTATTTTTTAATTAATTAATTATATATATATATTTATATTTTATTTAATTTTATATTTATATTAAAAATAATATTTTATATTTTTAAAAAATATTTTATTAATTTCTTATCAAGTCATATATGAAAAATATTAAAAATATTATCAGATCAAATCAAATTTAAATTTTATTATAATAAAATCAACTCAAGTTCGAAATGAATAAAAATTCATCTTAACCTTACCTGTTACCATTCCTGTACATGACACCCTCTCTTTTTAGTAGGTTTGACATATTTATTAGCTCAAAATTCAAATAAATTTGTTTTCACCGAATCTAGAAATGGTTGAACAGTTCCTTTCATTTTTTTTCTTAGGGTTTGAGTACAAAGAAAGCAAAAATGAAAACATTTCTTTATTCGTGCTATAATTCTTGTTATAATAACAAAATATAATGACTTTGACTAATTATTATTCTAAAAAAAATGTAATGACTTTAACAAAACTTCAAGGAAAACGTTTTCCAGGAAAATAAGACAGAGCTATAACAATCAAAGTTTCTAGAGTATTATAGGACTTTCTATATGTGCTTTTCTTTGCAATCAGATTTTCAGTCGTTTTCTCTTTTATTAAAGTTGAATGACATTTCTGATTTCTTCTTTTAAGGATGTTTCGATTTGTGGTTAGGAGGCCTGGCCGCCTTGGCTTAACAGCACATGGCACATGGTGTTACTGTTGGGTAAGGTTTCCCATTCTTACATGAGAACATGTCAACCGACATCAACTTCAAACCTTGAAACAACAACTAAAACTCCCAACGTGTCATGTTCCAACTGGCCGCCGCCCATTCTTTGAACCAAACAATCACCAACCACCCACAATTTGAGCTGTTCAAAGGCTCTTGTTACCACAGTCTACAAGCAAGCTGGTTCCACTTAATTTCTTAGGTCTACCACATTCCTATTATATATACACCCCACCCGAAATGTTATATCGCTACAACAGTTCAAGAAATTTTCCTAAACCAATTTATCATCTATTTGTTAATTAGTTTTTAGATATGGCAAAACTTTGCTCCTCCAAGGCTATTATGATCATTTTTGTTGCCGTTGTAGTCTCAGTAGCCACCACTGTATCAGCTCAGGGCAGTGCATTGGCGCCTGCCCCCCCAATGGACACCGGAGCCGCCTTCTCGACGCCAGTTTCCGGTGTTGCTGTTGTATTCTCTCTTATTATTTCTCTTCTTGCTATTATGAAGATGTGAGTTACATTGGTTTTTGATCATTTATTGAGTGATTGTATATTGTATTGAATTTATTATTATTAATTTATTGTATTGACTATTTGATTAGTAATGAATAATTTCATTGGAATAAAAGGCTTATGATTTTGATTATACTTATTATTGTGTTGGTTCCTCTGCTTTTGGTAGCATTTAAAGAACGATCTCAAAATATAGACTTCAATTTGCAACCGCTTAAAACGGGTAAAAAACAGAGCATTGTAATTAGTGGATTGCTTTAATAATGCAATGAGCTGCCATTAGTGGCCAAGACGCCTCTATTTAGTGGTTGCTCAAATAAAGAAATAAGCATCAATTAATGGCCAAAACACCATTATTTAATGGGTTATATTTTATTTTATTTTAATAAAATAAGTATAAAAGCATCATTATATTTGATTATAAATAGTCATACTTTGATGAAGTGAATACAAGAAAAAAAATAGAAAAACTTTTTTTTTTAACAGAGAATTAATTAATCCTGGCTATAAATACTCTATTATGTACTAAACGTAAGATATAAACCGTGAAAATCAAAATTTTCTGAACAATTGATTTTGTTTTAAATTAGTTAAATCAAGTTTGAGTTTCCACTCTGAACAATTCATTCATACTTTTTAGGAAAAGATTTATAGGAGATTTTATATGTAAAGTTTATTAAAATTTTGAAGTTTTTTATTAGAAACGAATAAATTAAAATTAAAATCGATGAATTAAAAAATCTTATCATATAAATTAAGTGTGTAAATTTTAAAAAAATTAATAAATTTTGATATATCTATTGAATAGATACTTTTTAGTAAAAATATTAATAGAATTTTTATCATTAAATAAGTATTGATTAGATTTAGATTATAAATAATATTATAGTAATATTTGTACATATTATAGTAAAATTTGGAGTATGAGAATTTAATATGTTCTTGAAGAACTAAGAGGTTCTAGAAATTCTTAACAATGTCTTAGATAAACCTCAAGAGGGAATACTGTCCAACTAGTATTATGTATAATGTAAGAATAATAGTGAATTCATTCATTTGTATTAATAGTTTCAATTGATGACGAATAAAAAATACTATTCATAATTGATTTCTCTACATATGATTATCAAAGTTAATTAAAATTTTATTTTAAAAAGGTTTTTTAATTTAAATGTTTTATTTTCATCAGAATTTTATAACATTTTTAAGTAAAAAAGGCTAATGATAAAATAAGCCTTTGATCACTCAATGCTTTATTCTTTTATTTGAAGTGATTAATTAAGAGACCTTGAAAATCATATCACTTGTAATTATTGATATCATAATTAATAAATCATAATTCAAAATTATGGAAGATTTATCAAACTACACCCTTGGTTTTAAAATTATTCTTTTATTGACTTTTTTGATCAAACTAACTCACCTTTGACTCTTATTTTTAATAAAATTATAACATTAAAACATTTTTAAAAATAAGATTTGCAAATTTTGAATTTCAAAATTTTCAAAATGTATTTTTTAAAATTTAATTCAATATAATATTTTAAAAAATAAGGTCAACGATGATTTGCTTTGACAAAGAAAGTTAATATAAGACAATTATTTTGAGACAGAGAGAATACGTATTATGTGGGGTTTACACTTATAAATAATATATATTTGTATAAATTTTTTTATTGTAAATGAATAATTTTATGATTATAAGAAGAATTGCACTTGAAATACTTAGGCTAAAATACTAAAAAAGTTTTTGAAATATTATAATAAGAGGACTTATTTATATATAAATTAAATGATAAAGGCTTATTTGAGTGTAAATCATAGGTTAAAGGCTTATTTGAAAATAATAAAAGTATTAAAATTTATTTAAATAAAGTGATAAAGTCCAGAGATTTTTTTTTTTATTATTTAGACCAAATGCTTACGATTTAAAACTAAATATGAATAGAAAGTACTGATTTGACTAATAATCTTATTAATTAATAGATGCATACTAGTATCCCTTGTCATCCATGTAAACAAAAATTAAACGATGCTACAAATACACATATATTAATTTGATGACATAAATTAGATAAATAATTTTGAAGCGTCTTTGTAATTTCAAACCTATAGTTTTTTTGGATTAATTTCTCATTTGGATCCTAAACTATACTATTTTATTACTTTGGCACTCAAATTATAAAAATTCTTAATTATGTACTTTCTAGAACACAAGATAAATTATTGACAGTTAAAAGACAACTAGAGATTTGAACTTAAAAATAATTTGATCTCAATTGCAGTGAGAAAACAAGAACGCTGCAGGCGTTAGAAAGATATTAAAACTGTGAAGTGATGATGAGAAAGATCCAGAAAAGCTTAACTTCGGCTCAGTTGTCAAGTGCCTAAACAAGGATAAAGAAATTAAAAGAGATGGATCCATTGGGTCATTAGGAAATCATAAATAAGAGCACGTTATAATTTCGTAACAGCATTTGCATCATTGTGACCAAGGCATTGCAAGATAGGTTTTACATGTGTTGTGTATGGATTAATGGGTTTTCTTATCATTTAAATTTCTTCTTATGTTTAATCAGTTTTTTTACATATAGCAAAAATAAAAATATAGTATATATATAGTAGTTTCGTTTTCTTCGGGTGGTCTTCTTATTGTTTGGGATTGATGTGGCTTTAGGATAATAAGTGTCTTAATTAGAAGAATTTGATGAATGTTAGAGGGCTCTGGATTAGAGTCAGTTTTGAATGTGTTAATTATATTTTTGCTCCATGTTATGGGGAAGGATGGGTATTATTATACTGTTTAATCCCAGGTGGGAAGTTTGGGGTGTGTGACTAATGGAGTGGGTTTTAGTGACTTCTATGAGTTTATACCATCTTGCCAGCTAATTGATTTACTTAGATGGGAAGAATTCTTTCTTGGTTTGGATATGGGAATAAAAATAATTGGAAAGATAGGTTTTTTGTTGCTCAAAGTCTGTTTTCTTGTAGATTTAGCGGGCTATATATATAATTTATATGTTGAATCTGTAAAATTTGTGCTTTACTTTATGTCGTTTATTCTCACTTGCAATCTCGGACTGTTGATCTCCATTAAATAAGCACTGATAAGTACTGATTTTATCTACCATTCAATAATTTTTCTTGACTTAATGTTTCCCATTTCTTCACGTTGTTTCCAATTGACTTTGATAAAAGAAATAAAGAAGAAAACAAGTAAGATGCCATTTCACAGCACCACTGATCAGTAGAAATATGATCTTGTTTTCTTAGTTCTACATCCTGATCTGATAAGACACGCCATTAGCCATGGATGGTGTTCTTTATAACTATGTCTCCTTGCTATTTGTTTTGTTTATTTGCAGCTATATCGTTAAGACCATCACTAAAAAACTGTTCAGTTACCGCACTGGAGTTCGAGTTCAACACCCTCCCAGCCCACCAGCTCTACCCATCATCGGCCACCTCCATCTCCTGGTAGGCTCCAGTTTTTCCAAGACGATACACAGCCTAGCTACTCGTCATGGTCCAGTCTTACAGCTTTACATGGGCGCATCAACATGTATCTTGGTTTCCAGTGCCGATTTTGCAAAAGAAATCTTGAAAACCCAAGAGCTTAATTTCGTCTCCCGTCCAGAATTCGCTTACTCTAATTACAGCATATATTTTGGGTCTGACTTTACTTTCGCACCCTATGGCACTCACTGGCGGTTTTTGAAGAAGCTGTGCATGACCAGGCTTCTCTCTACTTCGCAGCTTAATCAATTTATCCCTATTAGGGAGCAGGAGATCATGAAACTCTTGGAATATCTAATCTCGGTGTCTAGAGAAGAAGAGTCCTGCGATCTTGGTACGCCACTAACGACCCTGATGAACAATGTAATTTGTCGAACGGCGATGAGCACTAGCCTCTCGGATAATAATACTGATGAAGCTAAGAAGATTAAGGAATTGGTTGAAGAGATGCAAGTAGCTGGAGAAATGTTATGTGTTGGGGACATATTGGGTCCATTGGGAAAATTTGACCTTCTTGGTTATGGAAGAAAGCTTAAAAAAGCAATTGGGAAGTTCGATCAGTTGGTTGAAAACATTATGAAGAAACATGAAGATCAGAATGAAACAGGAGAGATTAGAAGTGGACAAGGGAAGGATTTAATGGATGTTTTGTTGGAAACTAGCAACGACCCTAGTGCCGAAGTGAAGTTAACCCGGAAAGACGTTAAAGCCTTCTTTCTGGTAAGTTCTTTTTTACTTTCAAGTTATTGAATTCAACTTCTCATCATTTTCGTTTAGCCCAAGAAGGGACAGGATGTATTACTTTTTTTTTTTTTTTTACTTTTTTTTTTTGAGCTTTTTCTAAACAATTAATTACTAAAAGCATGGCAATATCCATAGCTACTAGGAGTATACATTAAAATAAATCAAAGTGGGTTTACTATTCAAATTAAGGCTCAAAGTATATATTATCATGATACTTGATAAATTAGTTGCCCCCTTGTCCGCAAAAGGTTGTGAGATTTGAGATTGAAAATGTGGCCCAATAAAGGTTGGGAGAGAAATTTATCATGTAACTTGAAAATTACTAATGCTACGCAACGATAAGTCTCATTAGAGGATGCTAACTTTCCAGGACTTGTTTTTCGCTGGAACTAACACATCATCGGTGGCAATGAAATGGGCCATAGCTGAGCTGATAAACCATCCGCAAGTTTATAAGAAACTGAGACAGGAAATACAATCAGTGGTGGGGCATAGCAGGTTGATAAAAGAATCCGATGTGCAAAATCTCCCTTACCTACAAGCAGTTGTGAAAGAAACTCTAAGACTTCACCCTCCAACAATCACGACCATACGACAAAGCAGTGAAGATTGCAAGATCAATGGCTTTTATTTGATGGCTAAGAGTAGGGTCATAATCAACCTTTACTCCATCATGCGCGACCCAAGCAATTGGAATAACCCGGATGAATTTATTCCAGAGAGGTTCATGGCCAACTCCGATGATCTGAACTCTAATCTGGATTTTATGGAAATGAAAGGACAGAATTTTGATTACCTCCCGTTTGGGAGTGGCAGGCGTGCATGTCCTGGAGCATCGCTTGCCTTGACAATGATACATGCGACGGTTGGGGCATTGGTTCAGTGCTTTGATTGGAAAGTCAAAGATGGAGAATTGGTTGATATGAGAGAGGCATCAGGGTTTGGCATTTCAATGGAAATGGCGAACCCGCTCGTGTGTTATCCAGTCACAAAATTTAATCCATTTAAGAAAGGTTAACTACGATGTGGTGTTTATCTTATTTTAGATTATCGTTTCCACGATCTTGCACTCTAAGTACATCTTTTATGTACGTTTATTTTCTTTTCCAAAACCCTCATGTAACTCGTTCATGTGTGAATGAACTCGAAAGGATTTGGTATAATTATGTCATGCTGTAAAAACAGTAGAATATGAATTAAATCAACTTAATTAATGTTGATTGTTTGTGATACATATATACACTTACTGTAGATAAGTTTAAGCTTATCTCCTGTTCAAGACTCAATCTTAATCTGCGATTTACATATAAACTACAACAATATTAGATTAGATTACATTTGGATAACTTAAGTTGCTAAGTCAATTGTGGACAAATTCTTGGGGTCGATCCTTAAGCTGCTGCAGGTGCTGGGATGGATCATTTTGCAAAAGGATCGACTTGATCTGTTGCAGTTGGTTTAGCTGCAGTTGCTGCTGTTGTACTCTTGCAGTTACTGATGCAGTTGATGGAGCTGCTGGGATGTCAACGACCAAACAAAACCACGTAATGATAAATCTTAAAAAAACACAATTTTAAGCATAAAGACTTGAAATTATAAAAGTATTAGTGTAATTATATCCTATGCCGGCTTTGATTTAATGGCAAGAAAAAAATTTTAAAATACTAAAATCTTATGTTCACGTTTCACTATTGTGTAGGTTTGATTGTTTAATCATATTATATTTTTTAGTTGATTATAACTTAATTATGATATAATAATTAATTATTCAATTGACTATATGAAAGCAAATTTTTGTTATGATTGAAATTAAAATAAAAAATTATATCATTCACTATTAGATATTGTCAAATTAATATATACTAGAAATGTACGTGCATGTTGTTACTAGGTATGTAAATGAGACTTTTGAACTCATATCTTAACATACGTTAATGTTATTATAATTACATTTTGTTTACAATGATAATTTTAATAAAAAATAAAATTGAAGTTAACAAAATCAAATATATCGAAAATGATTATTCATAGAACTACATAATTGCACCTATTCTTATTCTTTAATGTAATTGATATATTTTTAAAAATATTTATATTTAATATTTTATCGTATTTTAACACATTATAATATTCATTCGATCAAAAATACAATATTAATGCTCGTATTTGAAATTCTTTCGACTAATTCAATCTTTAATTAAAATTAGTTAATAAATTAATAATTTATATCATAATTTATTTGCTTTTATTGAAATATTTATATATAAGCATATATTATTTTTGTAATATAACATAGAACAAATGATCTTAAAATGACATTCATATTTTAGTGATTAATATTAAAGAAGAAATCAACTTCCACCTAATATAACATCGAACAAATGATCTTAAAATAACATTATAATAATTAATTTCAATAGATCAAAAAATGAGATTAAATCATATTTTTTAATTTATCTATTTTATCCTTTAAATCCATTAAAATCAATAATTTAAAAAGTATAAAACTAAAAAAAAAATTTATAATGATATAAATAGATCTCTTAATATTAATTAAATATATATTTTTATATATAACATAATCTAATAAATTCAAAACTCATGAGTATTTAAGTATACAAAATCTCTTTTTTTTTTTTTAGTTCCTTTCCTTTTTTTTTTTTTTTTTCTAAAAATGTCTTTTCTTCTCCTTTTTAATACAATAAAAGGGAAAAATTGTACCTGGATTGTAAGCAATTACAACCGATTACACAATCTCTACTTTAATAATAACAAAACAAAAAAAAAATCACAAAGGGCTTAATTGGAGCTTTAAAAAAAAATCACATTTAAATAATGTTAATAAAAATAATAATTTCTATGAAGAGTTTGATTGACTCAGTTAAAAATTGGGGCAGAGATCCGAAGAAACGGAGAAATTTACTACAATCAATAAGATTTTTCCAATCCTCCTTTAGAAAGAAGTAAATGATTTTTTTTTCCCTATTTGCAGGATTGCAAGAACCAAGAGATTAAATCTAATTAAGAAAAATTCTCGACTGACAATCAAACATATATTATATAATATTATATATACTTTTATTTTTTGAAATAATATATATTTATACTTTTTAAGTGCACTATACGTTAATGTCCTTAAAAACGTATGCAGGCCCGCAGTCCAACTTTTCAAGTTGACAAAAAATTATTTGTTTAGAGAAAAAAAATAAAGACAATTAAATTAAACTAGCCTATCTCATTGGCCTAGATAATAAATAGAATCTAAAGTCCCATTAGAAGCTGCTAATAACGGCTGAGACAAGCCATGGCTTTTGCAACTGATGTTGTTATCTACTATGGCTCCTTGCTCTTAGTTTTGTTCCTTTCTAGGTACCTGGTTCAGATCCTGACTAAAAAGTTATCAAGTTATGGCACTGGGTATCAGCACCCACCAAGCCCACCGGCTTTGCCCATCTTTGGCCACCTTCATCTCCTGCTAGGCTCCAGTAGTTTTCCCAAGAAATTGCATAGCCTAGCCACTCATTATGGCCCACTCTTGCATCTTCAAGTGGGAGCTTCAGAATTTATCCTGGTTTCCAGTGCCAATTTCGCCAAGGAAATCTTGAAAACCCATGAGCTTAACTTCGTCTCTCGTCCACCACTTGGTTCCGGCTCTGATTACGATATATATTTTGGATCAGATTTTGTCTTCTCACCCTATGGCACATATTGGCGGTTTTTGAAGAAGCTGTGCATGACCAGACTTCTCTCTCCTTCTCAGCTTAATCAATTTCTCCACGTTAGGGAGCAAGAGATTGTGAAACTCTTGCAATCTCTGATGAAAATATCTAGAGAAAAAGATTTGTGTGACCTAGGTGCGGTACTAACCACGATGACGAACAACGTAATTTGTAGAATGGCGATGAGCACGAGCCTTTTAGATAATGCTGACGAAGCTGATAAGATTAAGGAGTTGGTTGCAGAGATTGCAGTGAATGGAGGGAAGTTTAGTGCAGGAGACGTATTAGGTCCCTTGGCAAAATTTGACCTGTTTGGTTATGGCAGAAAGCTTAAAAAAGCACTTGAAAAATTCGATCAATTGGTTGAGGGGATCATGAAGAAACATGAAGATAAGAATGAAGCAACAGCGAGGGATTTAATGGATATTTTAATAGAAACTTGCAACGACCCAGATGCTTAAGTCAAGTTGACCAGAAAAGACATCAAGGCCTTCCTCCTGGTAAGTTCCTTTCAACTTCTAGTTCTTTAAGTACAGTCATTGGTGTCAATGTATATATTAGTTTTTCTAAATCAGAGCCAAATTTTATTTTGATATGATGATTATGAAATGCTGATATAGGACTTAACGAAAGTTATGAATTTGCCAGGACGTGGTTATGGCAGCAACTGAAACAACCTCACTAGCAGTGAAATGGGCCATGGCTGAGCTGATCAACCATCCGCAGGTTTTCAAGAAACTGAGAGAGGAAATATATTCAGTGGTGGGAGGTGGCAGATTGGTCAAAGAATCAGACGTGCAAAATCTCCATTACCTACAAGCTGTTGTGAAAGAAACCCTAAGACTACACCCTCCATCAATCACGACCATAAGACAAAGCAGTGAGGATTGCAAGATCAATGGGTTTCATTTGAAGGGTAAGAGTACGATTATAATCAACCTTTACTCCATCATGCGTGACCCAAGTTCATGGAATAACCCTGATGAATTTATACCAGAAAGGTTCAGTAATCTGAACTCTAACGATCAGGATTATTTGATGGAAACGAGAGCACAGGTAAATTGTGATTACCTCCCTTTTGGGAGTGGCCGACGTGCATGTCCTGGAACATCCCTTGCCTTGGCATTGGTACATGCAACTGTTGGAGCCCTGATTCAGTGCTTTGATTGGGAGGTCAAAGGTGGAGAAATGGTTGATATGAGAGAGGCTTCGGGGTTTGCCATTTCAATGGAAATGGCAACCCCGCTTGTTTGTTATCCTATCACGCAATTTAATCCATTTGAAGAAAGCTAGGACGGACGAGTCACCGACTCACCGTTATAGTTTAAATCACTTCTTTATAGAATATATATGCTTAAGTACTTTTGTAATAAGGGCTTAAATTCCGGAGACTAATAAAATTTCATATTTCCATTCTCATATTTTTATGTTGTTAAAATGGAATCATTACACTTTTAATCTTGAAAGTTTACTTCCTTTTCACTTTCAGTCTTAAACATTTCAAAATTATTATTTTAGTTCTACAAGTTATGGAATGGTTATTTTACCAAACAAATTTGCTATTCCATCTCTCTTTTTTTTTTTTTTGGGATTTCATCATTTTTAAGCATCTAAAATTCTTACCTTTTTTTATTCCAAATTTGTTTTCATATATATATTTTTTTCACTTTTCAACATTAAAAATAATGAAACATCAATGTTATAAAAAATTTAAATTTTAACATAAAATATTGCACTCTAAAATCAAAGCATTTAATTTTTTAAAACCCGTAAAAATACAACAATACATAAACAGATGTAAAAGTTGCAAATGGGTACAAAACTTGATCTGTTTCTCTGCCTCTGGGTTGCAAGGTGCTTGAAATTTATGCTGTCTCATGCAGCTAACCGCGATACGTTTATAGTAAGTTCATGCTTTATTTTCAACCATGATAAATAGTAAGAGTGACCCAACCATCTATTCTCTTCTGCAAAAGGTGAGAGGAATAACAAATAATAGCATCCACAAGCTTGGCAGGAAGTATTGATGGAGCAAGTTGTGGAATAGGATTCCAGTTTGATAATATGACTTTTGCCATGACTAATTAGAACAAATCTACCTAGAGAAATTCTGAGGGAAACAATTATTTCATTGGTAGCGTGCATTTCTCCTGAAAGTAAGGTGTATAGTATCTATCAAAGGTGCAGCTAGATGTCCTTTCCTAATGTTTCAGTCAAAATCAGGGCCCCTGCTGATATTCCAGCAAGGGCATGTGCAACGCCTTAAGAATCACTCTCTTCCACTATTTATCACAATTTATCACAACCTATCAATAATTCTCCAACATTCCAAACACACCCCAATGTGGAATTGACAGAACTTGTTGCAAGTCAAAAACAAAGAACAATGAATAAATGCATAGGGCTTTTTTGATTCTTTCATACAAATCAGTTGCACAGGTTTGTTGCTTTCTCCTGCATATGCGATTGGCTCATGCAGGTGGCAGGAGCGGTGCAATGCTTAGTCCTAATGATATACAGGTTATAATTAGATGTACAAGTTGATAGTTGACTACCGCATAAAGTTTATATTCTTCCTTTGGATTTATACACCTTGTTTCTAAGATATAAAGGTTTGATTCCTACAGAACTGTACATTTCAAGAAACTGTCCCTTTGGACTCTTGAATGTCCAACTCATGCTCTGCTACCATGATGCAAGAATCAGCTTCCAGCAACAAAACTGAGCTTTTATCCTTCATCAATGTTTCCTTGGGTGATGAATTGAGCATGTCAGTTGTGCATTGTACATCTGGTATTATGCCAACCTGATCTATGTCATGAAGAGCAGGTGATAGATACTTTGCAACTGTTATAAAAAGAGCAAATCCATCATGTAGCTCTGTCACACTCTGTTGCAAAAATGATTCAGCAACCATGTCAAAGAAGCTTTGACCAATTAAGGCTTAATTTAGAGTTGATAGAGTAAGTGGCCAAGTTCACTACTGAAAAATATTGTACTCGTAGAAAACTTAATTGGAGGTGTATCACTTGTAGGATAAAAAAAATGTTGGATGCTATTTATAAAGGCATACTTCATGTAAGTCATTCAACTGCATTGGGTTTATAGTGCCAAAATAAACTTCCTGACAGGTACCGATGGAAAATGAATTACCCTATTTGTTTTCAGATAATTATCTACCTTATTTAACCAATCTCCTTAGCATTGAGATGAGCAATGGAAAAATGAATTAACCTATAACAAGTGAACATTAAACATACCTGAATCTTCCCTTTGCCAAATGTTTTGTGACCCACAAGGATAGCTCGACCATTGTCATGTAGTGCACCTGCCAAAATCTCACTGGCACTTGCACTTCCCTCATTCACCTATTACAAAGGAGAGAATAATTTGTTGTTAAGAGCTTTAAAGACATAATGGAAAGTAAAATAAAACAGTTGAAAAAGGTATTCAGATTTTTCCAACAAAATTTCCAAGATTCAGCAGGAAGTTTCAAGCAGAGTGCTCCAGCTAAGCAATGAATTATATGTGTGCGCGCACACACACACACACAAAAAGAAAGAACATAACAAGAGGAATTAATTAGTAAAATTTTGAATGTCAAGTATTGACACTCACAAGAACAACAAGAGGATCATGCGTAACAGCATGGCCATTGATCATGTTGATGGGTGACATATGCCCATCACGATCAACTGTGTTCACAAGAGTCTCAGTCCCATCTAGCCATATCTTGGCAACATCAAGCCCAGCTTTCACTAGACCTCCCTGCACAATGATTGAGTGAAGAAACTTAAGGACAGAAATTTCATCAAAAAGATCTTAAATGCACCAAAATAGAAGTGGAAAATCACAGGGTTGTTCCGCAAATCCAGTATGTATGACTGTACACCCTGGTTTTCCATTTCCTGAATTGTATTCTCCATATCAGTAGCAGCAGTCTGTCAAAGAAGAAAATAAATGGTTTTATTAACCCTTCTGCTACTAAAATAGAAGATCAGAATTCATTATTACAGTACCATTTTTTTCACAATCACTTTCGCATGAAGAAAAAATATATAGTTATTGGTTACTACCTGTGAGAATGTTGACAGCTTCACATAACCAGTCTTTGTTAGGCGGCCATCTGGGGTTCTATGAGGGATGACAGTACTGGATATTGATGAAAGCCTAATTAATTCACGAGGTAGTTTGACCTTCAAGCAGAAGGGCCATGTTTCAAGATTAACTGATGAAAAGAAATTCCATTGTACTTATAATCTGGTGCTGTATGCATAATTTGGTGACTATTATTGATAATTTTCAATTTCCCTTTCTATAGGTTGGGAAGAAAATCAATAGCAGTAAACCTATAAACAAAGATGAGATTGAGAGGCTGCATGTGATTATTACTTTGGCTCCTTAAATTTTGCTTCTACAAGCAAAAAACAAACCATAAAAAGCATTGAACATAAAAGCAGACAATATTTTCTAAGAATTATCCAGTTTTAATGATATATGATCTTGGATTTTACTATTTGCTTTTGCTTTATAGCAACTTTTATGAAAATAAAAAGAAAACATAGAAAACAAAGAAGGAAAAGCAACAATCACAGGGTGCCTTAATAAACAATGTAGCATTGTCTGCATAATGAACATTAAAGGGTTTGTTACCTCTTTGGTACTTGAACCACGTCCTGAATCATTTCCCTGGAGAACAAGACATTAGTTTTGTTATGTTTAGCAGGCTTGGCATTTTGAGAAAGCAATAATGCTTTTAGACAATCTGGCCTAGTCCTTTGGCTAGAAGAAGTAATACAAAAAAAGGAAACACTTGAGTTGAAATTAAACATAATACTGTCACTAAAAAAAGATACAAACGCTTATGGCACTTTTACAATGCTATATTGCTTGCTTTTGGGACACAGGTAATGCAGTCAGGTTCAACTGAGTAAAGGTGTGATAAATTTCCGTATTCCACATGCTGAGGAAATTCTTTAGGAACAGATTGCTGAAGCAGGATACATTAGATTCACTATGAATGCAAACAGATTATAACTACTAGTTCATGACAAATGGAGGGATAAAACATTGCAACTCTCACTATTTCACTCATTATTTTAAAATGGATGCACAAGCTGAATATGTCTGTGATCTTAATGCAATGAAGATAAAGATCAAAGCTAGATTGCAAATCACTAAATGTCCTGTCAAGATAAGAAAGATCATACTTTACGCAGGTTACTCAAGTGAACTTAATCTTCATTTACATTGCAGAGAATGAGAATGGATAATTACTGTGTGGAGCTTTACAGTAACCGATGTTCCAGCTTGGCCTCTAAGCATCTGGGCTGCTGCTTCACCGTCAACACCATCAAGTCTCTGCCCTGAAATCTCAAGAACAGAAACCAAAATTAAGCAGAGTTAAACTTTAATAGAAGAACAACATTGGAAAAGAAGAAACTTTGCACTCATGAATCATATCTTCAAGAAAGAAATAGAGAGTGGAAGGGGCAAGGTCAAAAGCTTAATAACATATATGTACCATTAATCTCAATCAACTCATCCCCCTCATGTATACCAGCACGAGCAGCTGGGGTACCCTCTAGACAAGACAAAACAACCTGCATAGTTTGAATAAAATTATCATTGCAATGCATGAACTTATGATTAATGGTAAAAATGAAACGTCTCAAGAGACATAAATTTGAATATCAAATTTCAACAGGTACAAATCAAGAAGCAAAGAGGGGAGAAAAACAACACTGTAAGAGAAATCTTTCATTGTTTAGCTGGAAGAATAGTGCAAATGAAAATTAAAAATTTGCTGGCAAGATATTTATACTAATCAATTTTCAATGATCCTGATGGAAACTCCCCTCATCTCCAATCTGTTATCATTAATGAACTAAACAAATTTAAATTGCTTGTCACTGGAAGGTCCTAGAGTTTCCTGGGCTCCTGCAGCAGGAGGGCATTGTAAGTTTTGATATAACCTAGGTAAAGAAGATAATTTTTTGCAGGGATGAAGTTATATATCTAAGGAGTGTCAAGAAGTTATATATCTAGCACAGGTAAAATAATGATGAAAAAGATTAAATTTATGCACCCACCAAATGACCAGTTTTTGGTTCAACATTTATGAATAGACCAACTCCTTGTAAATTCCCGTCACTTCCAATTCTAAAACTTTGGTACTCCTGAAAGTGAAAAAATTGTCATTAGATAGAGCAGTATCATAATTCCTTAACATAGATTCATCAATCGAAAAAATACTGTCATCACAAAGATTGAATAACCCTAAGAGCAACTAGTAAGGCTGAAATGACATCACAAATGAGTAGCTACATCACAATTCATCATATTTTTTTAGTATCATATGCTGGCTAAACTGAAGTACCATTCACACAAGTCATAGGAAGCTGATTGTAATACCTTCGGACTGATAATCCGAGTGAAGGGATCGCCAAGAGTTGAAAGCATTCCTCTTATTTTACCATATGCTGCATCAGCCGAGTTCAAGGGAAACATTTCCACCATCGTCTGCTGCAACTTCAAATCCCAGTCTGGAACAGGATAACTCTCAAGAATTTATTTAGTCATTATATATAGTTCCTTAGTTCCTAATTAACTGACGAAAGAGACAAAATAAACAAAATATTATGTTTATATATCCCTCCCTTCCCTAAGCCTTTGTGCCAACCTACTTATCCAAAAGGAAGTTGCAGGCCTATGAGTCCCAGGACATTTAACTCTTTAAGGCACCCGAACACTTTGACAGACACAATGGCAGGTGATGTTATTGGATTCAAATTTAAGTCTAATACAACTTGGAAGCTAAAGCATTTATACAACCGTAATTGATTGAACATGAACAAATGAACAACATATAGCACACCAATTATAAGAGACATCCCATTTACCTTGATGATTAAATGTTGGGTCAACAAATGTTTCTCTTATCAACCCCCAGGCTTCCACAAGAGTTCTTTGCACTGTATTCACCTGTCAAAAAACCTTTAATCACTCAATAATATAACTTTAACGGTCATAAGTACCCAATTCAATGTTTAAAATACCAAACGAATCACCTCTTGAGCGCGGGAAGCTGGAAAAGCGACGGTCAGAGACTCAGCAAAAGCTGGAGAATCAGCACAAACAGAGGCCAGAGCCGTGGCTGCTGCAGCAAAACCAAGGAACCCTTTCGTTATTGACTGGACCAAATCATGACCGCTGGATTGTTGTCTAGGACCCTCTGTTTTAACCGCTTGATGATGATTATGGTTATGATTATATGAACCACAGGACAACGACACACTCGATTTTTTGCTAATGCCACGATTTAGCCACGAAAATCGCCGTGAAAAGAGTGGAATCGAAGTGGGTCTTGAGGCATTTAGGAGTTCAAAGTTTGCGCTGAGAGGCTCCATTTGTTCGTTTCAGCGACTAGAATGAAGGAAATAAGAAGAAGGAATATTTTTTCGATGTGGGTTTTGTTGTTGCCCGTTACTTTTACTGGCGGTGGCGGGATTCTGCTGGAGACGGGACCACATGAATCTTATTGAGGTTTCGTGTGGCGACGGGACCTGTTGCGTTTCGTGTTTGAGTATTTATGAAATAATTTAATAATTTATTAATTTTCACTATTTATGATTGTATATAAAATTATTTTTCTTTTTCAAATAATTACATTCTTGCCAAAAAAATTATCCTATTAAAAATATTAGGACCATTTACAAAAGTCAACACAAATACCAAAGACTGAAAATGAAATAGAAATTAAATCTTAAATTCATCAAAAATGAAATTCAGCTCCACATATTTTTAAAGATTAAAAAAATATTTATTAACCAAAATTAGCTAAACACATCTTTTACCAACCCAACCCAACTTAATGGGCCACTGAGGAAAACATAAAATACCATAGGCCCAATTTTTATATGGCCCAGAAGCGTATCCTGGTGGAAATATGAAACAGGGGAATTAAATTTGTTTAATTATTTGATAAAATAATAGTTGATCTACACTATACATTAAAAATTATTTATTATTAAAAGTTATAATTCAATATTTTAATATTTATTAAAATATATATAATTATTGGGCTCCACGTGCATGTGTAATGATGTGTTTTCCCTACATTTCATGTGACATCTACAAAGCTATCAAAATGTAGGTGAAATTTAGGAGAGGACAGATTTTCTACTGCTAGAAAAAGAACACTGGGAAAAACATACCTCCTCAATCGACTGCTTTGCCTGCCCTAAAAATGCTAGAGAAAGTACACCAAATTTTTTTTTTATTGGCATCAACAATTGGTAAGAAAAATGCCATAGATTCAATTGTGTTAAATTGTGATTGAAACAAAAGCCCAATTCCTCATTACTAACTACAGAAATTTTCAGCATGGAAAAGAAAATAAATATCATTTTTAATATTTAAAATTATTAAAATTTAAATTTTGATTATTAAAAATTAATAATTTAATATTCTACTAATAAATTATACTTACGTTTGACAAATAAATACCACAAATAATATTGTGGACAATGGATAGAGATGTTAATAGGTTGGGTTAAGTTCATGCTTAGTATTAAAAATTTATATATTTATTTAAATTTTATTTAATTGGTTTTTTTGAATTTTAAAATTTTTTAAAATTTTACTTAGATTAAAAAATATAAATATCAAACACACCAATTAAATTTAATTTATATAATAAAAATTTTAAAAAAATTATTTTTTAAAAAAATATAAATTCACAAACATATATTTATATAATTATAATATTTTAATTATATATAATTTATTCATACTCAAGTTTTTATTTTTTTATTTAAAACCTAACTTAAAATTTAAACAAATTTAAGAATTATATTCAAATTCATTTAATATAATTCTTAAATTTATTATCCAACCTCTTTTAAAACTTAAGCGGTCTAACCGTGGATTACACTTCAAACATGGTATGCTGTTGGAACATTAACTTGACAAAGATTTTCTTGTTGGAACCAAAGCGTTTCTGCTCGGTTATCTTTCCTTCATGGCAAAAAGGTAAGGTTTTAATTGGATGTCCCAAAGTCAAGTTTGATGAGGAAAGGCGGTATGGGAAAGAGGTGGACAAAGATGCCATCACCTAAAGCAAAAAAGAGAAAGTGTTGTTGTTTCAATTTCAATCTTCCACCCACTGAAATGAGAAAGGAAGATGGAAGATGACAACATTGTCCTCATCAAATGGCTGCTTGGGGACAAGCAAACGGAACAATCAAAGGAGAATTTTGGCTTCCTGTTCATAATTTCATGTGCCCCGTGACAGTCCATGTGTGGCTGATCTAAAAACATTTGCTTAAAAATATACATCATTTAATGATTTCATGCTTTATTGGGAACAGGGACTGTTTGGTAGATACAATATCATCATAACTAAATCAATTATTGATTGAATATAAATACTGAAAAGCTACCTGAAAATACCCCAACATAGCACTCAAAGTGAAGAATAATATCAACCAGATTTTAACCCAAAAAACAAGAAAAAGGAAAATATGTACTGTCAAACAGATCTAGGCCTCACATTAAATAAGAATGGGCCTTGGTGATCATTATTTCGGTAAGTCTTTAAAGGAATTAGTTCACTTTCATATATTTTATTTGTATTATTTTTATATCGTATTATCATAATATGTTTTAAATTATCATATGTAATTTTTTTTAAAGGGTTAAAAACAACCAAGAAGAATAAATATCAAGATTTATATTTGATGCTTATCATATTCTATTAATGGGTAAATTTGTTTTAAAATTAAAAATCTTTGAAAATAAATCTCGTACATTTTTATAATAGATAGACATATTCTAAGTTTTGAGTATTTATTTTCAAATATTTCTAATTTTTCAGATTTTCTCATTAATAAAAATACACTAACAATTTGTCCTTATAAATTATCATTGATTGACAATGTATAAAATATATATACTTACAGACTATTTGTCCATCAATTTATCTTAAATTTTTATTTATGATTTTAATTTGTAGTAAATTATTGCTGCAAAAATTTCATGAACTTCACTTAATTTCACTTCACTATTGTTCATAGGGTAGACAATTTATCTTACCCTTTCTTTTCTTTTTCTTTTTTATTTTTTTGATAAAAATTAATATCCACAGATTTGGTGAGATACATATGCAGCATCTTTAATCTTTCAATCATTTTTGTTAAGCAATCTAATCAGTAGATTAATCACTAAAAAACATGTCTAAATTCATTCGCTGGATTCAGCAAATTGCCCTAACCAACACCTTGTTATGACATTAGTGCGTATTTATACACTTCTTTTAAGGTGATGTTTGCCTTTGCTTAATCATTTGAGTGAACTAACCTTTTGTGAAAAAAAAAAAAAAAACAACAAAAAATAAATTTAGTTGTTGTTGTTTTTTATGGGTAGATACGATTGCCTTGAGTCATGCCTAATTCGGATCGAGCCTTGAAAATATATTGCCCAAATCAAGGCCCCATATTTCAAATTTTAAATTAATAAAATATTTTATAACACCAATATTGCAATATTCTGTATTTATTTTTTTAATTACAATATTCAATAAAAATATATTAATATAATATTATTTAACAAAATATGATCATTTGTGGAGACGTGGCTTACTCAAAAATTGTAGATATGAGAATTTGAAACACGATAAGACGACACGATATAAAAATGATATGAATAAAAGATGTAAAGATAATACGACTTAAAATTTTTAAAAAATTATAAATAAATTTAATAAAATAAAAAAATATTTTATATTTTCATATCGACACGAATTATGACACACGATTTCTATGTAAAATATGATATAAATATAATATTTTACACGATACGATAATACAAATTGTCAGGTCTAAAAAATTGATATTTTTCAACACTTACTTTACCTATATACACAAATAGACACACACAAATATATATATATATATATGTATATTTTTACCATGGATTTACCAATAGTTATTTTTTTTTATTTTTTAAAAAGTATTTTACCTAAATATCTTCTTTTATATATTCACAGTGGTCTCCAACATTTGCTTTTCTTCTTAGCTTTACTACATCGAAACAGAAAATATCACTTTTTTATTTTCGCCTTTCCTTTTCTCCTTTTTGATATACGAATTCATTCCAAGGATAGGATCCTTCTAGGAAGCTGGTGAAAGTGCTCTTTTTTATAAAGAAAAGTTCCCCCCCGTATTTTTTGCTGGTTTGTTTTTGAGAAAGATTAAAAGGTTATCTTGGTAATTAGTATTGTTTTTTTTTTTTTCATGGGTCCTACGATCCATACATAATTTAATCATGATCCTCAAGGCATCTATTTAGAACTTATCATTGGTTTCATTAGATTAATAAGAGTTGTAACAATTCAATAATTACGTAATATATTAGTAAAATGTTAAACTCTTAATTTTATACTAATTAGAATTTAAATCTTGATGGTTTCCACTATTTTAAAAAAATTATAACAATAATCACTGAAATTAATTAATATAAAGATGTCTAATAAAGTAATTTAAATAAATTACCATGTGCACTTAGCATTAATCCATTTTTCTAATCTTAAGTTACGGGTTTTTCTATAAAAAATTAGAAACATATTTTTGGAATAACAATTGAATAATGTTCTTCATAACCAAACTATAAGATCACTAATTACATGAATTATAAGATATATGTAAGAAGCATCAAAATTTTAACTTCTAAAACTTTTACTAGTATATATATTTGGATATCAAATCGACAATCATGCTTATAGGAGCACATTATCAAGTAGAGAGCTATATATATTATTAATTTCATTAAAAAAAAGAAGAAAATTGAGAGTGAACTTTCTATTTAAAAAAGAAGAAAAAAAGAAAGAAATAAACTAATTATTCTGCTAGCAACTTGAAAATTTGCATGGAATGTCCATAATTGATGAATGCACTTTCTGAGGTTTAGTCCGTGTGGGTTTGCTCCTTAATGAGTGCTCTTTCTGTCTGTAACTACGTACGTGGGGTTTGGTTTTTTTAGTTTATTAGATGTTTAATATATACTATATTACTAGGACCGATGGAAATAGGATCTTGTGTCTGCAACTACACCCTTCCCTTTGATTACTTGTGTCTGATCAAAACAGTACTTTAAATAAATCAAAAGAAACCAAAAACAAAGTGGATTAACATACCCCATTTTGATTTTGATTTGATTGGCATGAAGTAACGTCAAAATTAACTTTTTCTCATGACCTAAAGATGAGCAGAAAGAAAAGCCTTGATATGCCCTTTCCTTTCTCTCTTTATATTCCCATGCTTTCTCTCCCTTTCTCTCGTGCTGTTTGGTGTAAATTTTAGATTTTTTTTTAAAGTATATGCTCTCTCAAATTTCTTCTTCTTCAAGTTTTTTTGCTCTATATTCCCCTATTCTAATCATAGCTACCAAAATGCAAAATACCTACAACTTGGAGAATCTCCTTGGACCCAAGGCAGATAAACTTTAGCAAAAACAACAACAAAGAAAAGGGATCAAAGAAAAGCAATTTGGTCATGGATAATGATCATGGGAAAAAGAGATCATATATCTCTTCTAGCTAGGTATAGCCCAAAAGAAGGATTTTTTTGTTTCCTCTTGTTATAATTTTTTCCTTTTTCTTTTATAATTTTATCTCATTTTATTTTATTTTTTCCTTTTTCAAAGGTAAGTGTGATTATGAGTTAAGATTATTTCTTCCCCTTTTTTTCCCCTTTTCCTTTTGCTTGTTGGGGCCTCTCAAACAAAGTTGTCTCACATATTTTGAGGGTCAGACCTACCTCAACCCCCCTTCTTGCAGTTTGGTCCATATATATTTTTTTAGGGTCATATAGTTTTTATGGGTACGTTGCTCATCATTTCACTGAAAAACAAGTGAATTTCATTAGCTCCTTGGTCCATAACTTTATATATATTTTTGGTACTAAGCTTTTTTTAATTAGATATATAATGGCATGCGTCACCTTCCACAATTCACCGGCCCGATTTATACTTTGCATTAGATTTGAGTAATTATTGTTGATAAAGTTCTTTGTTTTTATTTATATTCCTTTCGAGAGTTTTTTGGGCTAAAATTGTCTTATGATATTTAATTCTGTCTTTTGTAACGAACAAAATAATGAAGTTTTAACTGGCCTGAGTAAAAGTTTGTGTTTGAACTTTGAAGTGATGCTTCAGCACTTGCTGAAAAACTTTAGCAGGACCACTGAAAAATGTTATGCTGATCTGCAAATCATGTAAAATTTCCCTGGATTTCATGTTAATTACAAAAGAAATTAAAACATGGTATTCTTGTCGTAATATACCGTGAATTTCACAAAACTCATAATAATATTTTCTTTCTAAAATATTGAGAGGAGGAGATTTGGTGTCCCTATTAAATCAGAACTTGCAGAAAAAAGGTAGTGATTCGAGCCAAAGGGAAACAAAGCTGTCTCCTTTGTGTATTGGAATATGAATACAAGGCAAAATAAATAATTATTTTACATATATATGTTCTCTCATGTAGGATGCTTGGTCTCCTTGACAAGTTCATGGGAAAATGCACTATAATTTATAAAACTAATTTTGAAAAAACAGTTTAGACAATGGGAAAAGATCAGAATGAAAATAAATTACGGTGTTAGACTTAGGATTTTAAGCAACTGTTAGACAGGAAAAAAAAAAATGAATAATGAGCTTCTGTTAACCTGCATGTGTTATCTTCTATTAAATTAAGTTCCCATTCAGCCTTTTTTCTCTTTATAACTTTAAAGAAAATTGAAAGATTTTGAAGACTTGTCTTGGGGTTAGACCCATAAAACTTTTCATTTGTAATTAAGAGGATTCTTGACAAATCATTTACGTACATGCATGCATGATCAGTTAATACGTATATAGGTACTTTAGGTACCTTATTTGTTTAAATGGTAGTGATTTTTTTCAGAGATAACATTGCAGAATAAAAGCCATGGCAGTGGAGGAAATTAAAAAAGGTGATAACACTGATATGTCTGTAGAGAGATAGCCAGAAAGATGAGTTGCCTAATGGGAAGAAGAATGGCCCCAAGGGAAGGGTAAGTGGGGTCAATATATTTTGTAGAGCAGAGCTGGTCTCCCCAGCAAAAGGGTAATGTCAATAAATGCGAATTGGTTCTAATTTTCTTAGTAGTAAACCATACGGTTTTGGTTGATCTGGAGAGTGTTATAGAGCAGTATACAAAGGAATTGGTAATCCCCCCCAAGGGCCATCGGCTGACAATATTGTGGCCTGTTAACTTTGTGGTTTTTCTTGCCTGGAGGGATAACAAGTTGTCTAGAGAAAGGGAAAATCACTTAATTTTGTGTCCTTTTTTTGTCCTCACAGTATTCTTCATGATCATTATTGTTCTTGGGAACACTTAAAAATAAATCTTAGATAATTTTTTTTTACATATCTTATATAATATTAAATTTTAATTAATTAATTGTATAAAATAATTATAAATAATATGCTCAAGTTTGAGAGATGGTCAAAGATCGATTGAAATGTCGTTTCATGCTACAGTTCATCCTTCAGAAGAGGGTGTGTATGATGCACTGTAGGGGGCATGAGTGTATGCTGTAGATTTACACAACCAACAGAGCTTGGGCTCCACACTGTTTCAGAGTTTTTTGGCCGCTGCACCCCTTTGCCCATGCCTTTCTCACTGGAAAGAAAGCTGCCAACAAGTTCCATTCCATTTCCATCCCTCCCAAACATCTTCCAATGTATAAACTAGTAGTAGTAGGAGTAGTGTAGTACTATTATTACTCCTACACCTATATTTCAATTGTATCCTCCCCTCCCATTAATATTCCCGTATCATATTTTTACCCTTATCTTTCTCTCTCTATATCTCTATGCTAAAAGCTAATCATTTGCTTTGAATTTTCCAAGTAATAGTGAATCTCTCTTATGGTATAAGTTCCATCCGTAAACAGACACATCTCTCCACTGACCAAAGCAAAAGGGCATCATATATATGCACCCCAAAAAGCTGGTTGCAGGAAAAGCCTACCTCAACTACATTTGGAACAAAATATACTCACCAGTCTTGTTATCCAGTGATCAGCTTGCTTTATATATGTACAGCCCTTCACGACCCATTTGTGAGACTGTGGGAGTGGCGAAGACTCATATGAGGATCTGAAAAGGAAAAATTGAATTATTAAAGCTACTAAGTCAGAAAGAAAAGCCCCCACACCTATTGTCCATGCATGTATATCAATCTATATTTTCATCCCCTAAAAGTTAGAATTAGCTGAAGTGGTCATATCTTATTTCCAAAAAGCTTTACTATACTCTCTTTTTTTTTTCTTTTTAACTTTAACTTATTCCCTTAACCAACTAATCTACAGAAATTTGAACCCAAATAATATTTATCCATCCATGTTTTGTCAAAGGTCTATCACCCAATCTTTCGAAGTAGCTAGGTTATGACATCAGTGACAGTTTCTTTTTCATCTTGTTTACTGTCTTCTTATAATTCAGCCCTCTGTCTTTGTACGTATAAATGTGGTGGATGCTTTTGTATCTCAACTTTCTCAAATCATAGGATTTTCGCAGAATCTTTTTTTTTTTTTGGATAGAATGATCTATTGGCATTATAAAAAGAAAACCCAGAAATCTTTCCCATTATTCATGAAATTAAGATCAGTCAAATCAAAACTAAAGAAGAATATATAATTGCTTTAAACAATCGACAGGACTCAGGAAAAATAACTGCACTACTTTTCCTTGTGAAACATTTCATCATTACATAAAAAATAGATTTTCCATTATCCTTTTTTCAATGAGTATATCATAATTATCGTCTAATGCATCAATAATATGCTTTTCCAACAAGGATCTTTAGTTTCAGCTTCCGTTTTCCATGTCGGTGAGTAATGGTTTAAGCAATTTATGATTATTCACCATGCATATGCTGAGGAAGATTGAAAAGCACACTGCAAAGAGAAAGAAACCACTGAAACGATCAGTTGAAAGGGAAATGGATATATATGAACTTAGCCTAACATGGATGTTAAGGGACCCTACATTAATAAGGAAACTGCAAAGGAAATTGAAACAAAAGAGGAGGAAAAAGGTAGCTTCCCCATGTAAATTGAAAACTATATATATTTCTTACTTTGGAAGCCTGGAAAATAAAGCTTTATAATTAGAGAATTAATTAACCATTCCTTCATATCATACCCTTTTTAATTTTTTTTCCATTTATTCATCACTGCATGGACTCATTATCTTGTTCCACCTCAGATGCAGGCTCATCTTCTTCTTCCAAGCCATCGATGCCATAAGCTGCATGGCCATTCCCAAAAGCCTTTATGTGGTCTTTAAGAGATCTCTTGTGCTTGAAATCGGAGCCGCAAATGCAATACCAGAGCTTCCCACAGTTCTTCTCATGGGTTCTCCAGTCTCCTCTCACAGCAAATGCCTTGCCACATTTCCTGCACATGAAAGGCTTGATCCCATGCTTCCTCTTGTAATGTGTTTGCAGGGTTCTGAAATCTTTGAGTGGCTTTGCTCTTGGATGATCAATGTTGTTCCTGCACCCTGTTGCACAACAATAGCAAGGAAGCCTTAGCATTCCTGTTGGCTGGGTTCCCCTCAGTGATTCAGGCCCTTTCCTATACTGAGATCCATGCCCCCACATATGCATCTGCACAGAATTCAGTCAAAGAAACAATCAGTAGAAGCCAACAAAATTAAGTTATCTGTAATCACGCCAAAACCAAAATCTTGGTAGTACAAGCATATATTTGTACCTAACAAAAACAAATTAAAAGCCTCAATACAATTTTTTTGGTGTCCTTCGAAAACTGAATGCTTTTCCTCATAGAACTCTACATTATGTGAATGAATAACATTTATATTATTTGTTAATATGTTTCCTCAAAAAAAACCTCATAATTGTATTATTAAAAAGGAATAAATTTTCTCCAGGAAGCAAAAGAAATTCCTCAGCTCAACACAATTGTGGATCGCATCCCTATATTGAGTGAAATTGAGGCGGATGAGTTTCTCGTTTTAGAAGATGAAGAAGATATCTCCCACGCATGGGATTTTGATCGTGTCTGCAATGTTTTGTTAAAAACTGAAGGTTCAATCAGATAAATTGTTGCTTAATTTGTTAAAAGCATCCCAGTTCTGAAATGAACTGCAAAAATTTCAGTTGTACGCTGCCTGCCAATGAGTAAAGCACAAACTTCAAAGTACCAAAGGCATAAGGAACATTGCCTGTGTTGTTCAATCAAAAAAAAGAAGGTACTGATCTCGGACTCAGTTCGGATCAGACCGATTTGTTCAACCCACAAAACCACAAGCCATGCAACAAAAACAAAAAAAATAAAATAAAATAAAAGAAAAAAGAACCAGAACATATACGTATCCAGAAAATGTGTTTAAGAAAAAAAAAAAACCCATTGGATAAATCTGCTTTTATGTTTCTTCTTTAAAATCTAAGCATGGGAAAGAAGGAAAAACAAAAAGACGGTTTAAGATTCCCATCAGGCAATAAGTCACAAAAACAAAAGACTTCGGATGGAGTATTTGTTTTTTCAATTGTCTTGTTTTATGTACTAAAGAAAAGGCTTAAACAAAAGGGAACAAAGGAAGGAATTAAAGGAGGCAATCATTCAAGTAATGAAAAAACTTACTTGCATGTTGTTGTATCTATTGAAGGTCTTGCAGCAAACCGGACAAGAGAACTGTGTAGGGCCAATAAGAATCTGAGAAGGGGTAGGGATCCAATACTGTCCCTTGTTGAGTCTGTTAACCGGGTACCCAGAATCATCACCATCCCCATCTTTGTCAGTGATCTCTGAGGAAGATGATAAAACCGAAGCCAACTCTGAAGCACTAGGGCTTGGTAACCCTATATGCAGTGCAACAGTAACAGTTTCATCTTCAGCTGCACTACTGTTACTCAAGAGCAGCCGCTGACCTTCCTCTTTCCCTTTGCTCTTGTCTATATCCATGGCAGTGCAAGAATATTGCTCTTGATCTTGATCTTGATCTTGGTCTTCCACATCCTGTTCCTGCTCCTCTTTGTTATGCCTTGTGGGACTCAAGCTCAATAGTGGTAAGACTTCTCTAACAGGAGGCGAAGGAGGTGATGAAGAAGAGCTGCTGGTTTGGTAGTGGAAAAACGGGTTAATATTGCTGGCTCCATTTCTCAGGAAGGTGGTGCTGTTGCTATAGAAGTTTTGGGTATAGGAATTAGGTTGTTGTTGTGGAGGAGGAAGAGGGTACTTGAACCAACCTTGGAAGAAATTGGAGTAAGGGTAGTCAGCCATGGTTGAAAACCAACAAAACAAAGAAACAAAGAAAGAAAAAAAAAAGGTGGTTGAAGGGATAGAAATCAAGAACAGTTTGGGCTTTGTTTGATTTGCTTTTATAGAGAGAGAGAGAGAGAGAGAGAGAGAGAGAGAGAGAGAGAGAGAGAGAGAGTACAAGATGACTGAAGGGTATGAATGGTGGAGAAGAGAGTGATTAATAAAGTCCATTAACCTAACAAAAATATGTGTTAATTACTTAAAGAAAGCAAAAGGGAAAGATATAATCACCAAAGTGAAGACCCAAAAAGAAGAGGTGTAACTGATCTAGGCAAATACCTTTAATGGCCATTTCTTGGTAAAACTTGGATTTCCAGTTAACCGAACACTAAATTCTTTTACTACTTCTTGCCTATTTGTTCAACTTAATGACTTGAATGCCCTTCATATTCTTTCCAAATTACCCACAGTGGCTAGAAAGAAAACTTGCTGATGCTGCTTCGGAAGCTGGACTTGGCTGCGGGCTACAAATTCTTCGGTTTTTATTTGGCTAATTTTGCTTAATCATATGTCAAATTTAAAATGTGTATATTTTTTCTTGTTATTTTGTAATTTGAAAATGTTATGAAACCAAGCAAGTGAAGGACTTTAACAGCCGGAAGCAGTAAATTAAATAATTATAGCATGTATATTATTTTAAGTATCAAACTTAAAATTAATTGACAATAAGGAGATAATTCAATTTGAATATAAAACTATAAAATTTTAAATATTCATTAGACGTGAGATAACATCATACTAATAGGTTACGTGATACTAATAGGCTATGTGACAGATTTAGATGTGGGTATAGATTTTAAAAAAATAACAGAAAGAAATCTTGACTTTGATACTATTTAAACATCTAACTTAAAATCAATTAGTAGTAAGTGGATGGGCCCAACCTAAATATACTTAAAACTAATTGACAGTAAATGACGAGGCCCAACTTAAATATATTTAAAACTATACTAACATACCCCATTATTTGTAAGCGAAGATGGAAGAAATCTTTTACATGATAAATTTGAAAATGGCAATAGAAAAAAATCATGACTCCAATATCATGTTAAGCATCCAACTTAAAACTAATTGACAGTAAGTGAAATGACTAAACTTGAATATAAGATTACAAAAAATTAAATATTTATTAAATATGGGATTAAATCACTTTAACAAGCTCCTATTCTGTGTAGATGAGATGAAATAAACCTATCACGTGATATTTATTATGTTAAGCATTAAATTTAAAACTAATTAATAGTAAATGGAAGGGCCCAATTTGAATATAAGATTACAGAAAATTGAATATTTATTAGATATAAGATTACATCACTTTAATGTTTTACTTATTGTCAATTGGTTTTAAGTTAGATGTTTAACATGAAATTAGAGTCCGAATTTCTTTCTGTTGCCCTTTCCAAATTTGTCACATGAAAGGTTTTTTCATCTTCACCTATGCGTGATGGGGATATGCTATCATGGTGTTATCCTATATCTAATAAATATATAATTTCATGTAATCTTTACATTCAGGTTGGTCCTCCACTTACTCTGTCAATCGATTTGAAGTTGGATACTTAACATGATATCAAAATCATGATTTTTTTTCTGTTACCCTTTCTAAATTTATCACATAATATATTTATTTTATCTCTGTCTACACATGATGAAGTGTGTTAATATGATATTATCCAATGTCTAATAAATATATAATTTTTTGTAATTTTGTGGGAGTATAACTTGAATAAAAAATGATAAAATATTAAATATTTATTAAACATGAAACAACATCGTATTAACATATTAAACATAATTGTAAGAAATTTGGAACAAAAATTGACCGTTTAAAATATTTTTTGAACAAAATATTTTGTAATTTAAGATTTACATAAATAAGGATATCTCGGCGGTTAAATCATTATGCCAATAAAAATATTATAATTTCAATTCTTTTGAAAGTAATTTCGACTAGCACTTTTGGGTTATTTAACTTTGCCCTCCTAATCTAACTAAAAAAAAAACCTCTTGGTGCCACCACCATCATCATCTTCGTCATCATCGTACTCACGTATCAAAGCAAAATTAAAAGATTTGAATACATCTTAAAATCTCAAATGACATTATATAAATTATTGATAAAGTATTAAAATTTTTATTCCAGTGATTATTAATTAAATTTTGATAATTTTAAATAAAAAAAAGATTTCGGTCTATTACTTTCACATTATCAAGTATATGGCTTGGAGCTTTCTTTAAAAAAAAAAATGATTTGGTGCGTTTTTTAGACAATTAAAATTTTCTACTAATAAGGTATTCTATTTGTACATATTAATTATATCTATATTCCTCTTTTACTTTATACATATGATATAATTTTATCCCTTATTTCATTCTTATAAAAAATTTTGATCAGTACATGTGATTTTTTTTTCCTAATTAATTAAGTTCAAGAAGCCATCCTATAAATCTAATTATTTTTTCTTTAAGCAAGAAACGAGGAGTAAATGGCTTGGTTATTCAATAAATATATATACAACGCACCTGTTTTCAATTCAATTGATGGTATTCACCCTCCAACATCATGAATTTTTGTCATGTATTGAGCACAATTTTTAATGTGGCACACAAATTCAACATGATGAAACTTACAACTCGTACGTATGCTTCAGAGCAAACATATAAGATCCTTCTGCCCTATAGTTTACCCATATAGTAAAGCAATCCATCCATGGTAAACCATAAAAAAAAAAAATAGACTGTCCGAGATATTTAATCTTTAATCACAGCTATGAGTTAAAATTACAATAATATTATTAAAAAATATACTCTTTTTTTTTTCTTTTTTTAAATTTCGGCAAAGGGAGAATATTCGAACCAATTCTTTAGCAAGGTACCTAATGTTCGGATGCATCAAATAGCTTTTAATATATATGAAATAAAAATTCACACGTAATAAAACTTGAATTCGAAACTTAAAAATTTAGAACTTCTTGTTTCCAATTAAAACAGGCTTCGTTAACACCTTTTTTTTTATATATATATTTCTTAAGTAGAAAAGATCTGATTTCTTAACTTGCCCTGAGAAAAACATTTCAATAAACTTTGCCCTAAGAAATTAGATTATATTATTAAGTTAACATAAATAAATAAATTAATAAATTTATATTGATGAACCTTGATGATTGATATGGGTATCTTAGTCTATATATACATCTCGTCCCAACCAAGTGTCACTGAAAGTGTTTTTTTTTTTTTTTGGCCTTTTTTTTTTTTTAATTTTCTTCGAAATCTTGAAAATATATGTCAAGACCAAACCACATGGAGAAGAAGCAATTAGTTTGAGTGTGTACGAACATTTCGATTGAAGTTCGGGCGGTGGTCGGCTTGCCCCAAGTGTTCTCAGAGCTTATAGGATTGTCCCAATCACCATCACTGTGTTTTGCCCACTGCTCCTATCTTCTTATATGTCTGTTCTCTCTTCCATCTCTCTCTTTCTCCAACATTATTTTGATTTCTTTCACTTAATTTTAACAGCTTATGTTTTTCCTTCTTTTTCGGTATTGATGTAAGAATAAGTAGTTTTTTTGGTATTTGAAAGAATAATTTTTTTAATAAATAGGAAAATACAAAAGAATTATTACATAAACAATTCGTATTATTTATTAAATTCAATGCAAATAAAAAATATCACATTATTAAAAAAATCATGTCTGAATTTGACGTTTGGCTTATTTAAGTGATTAATATATGCTTGTGTCAATTTTTAATTATAAGTTTTTTTTATTATTTATCAAGCCTACGATTGATTATTGATATAAATATATATATATATATATGGTAGAAAGAGTCTATACATAATCTATGAGATAAAACACATGACATGTGTATTCTATAGAGAGACATTTTAGAATTTAGAATTGAACATAAACTATTTGTTTTAAGAGAAATTATCGTATTAATTAACAATGTAATTTTTAAATTTCATTGTTAGAGTTAGTTAATTAGTAATTTTCAAGGTATAGTTAAAAAAAATAAAAATAAAACATGTGATAGTTTTTTTTTTCATTTGTGAAGTTAAAATCATTTTATTATCAATGTATCAAGAATAAACTCTATTTTAAATCCATATATATTTGCAAGTAGGTTCATGTGATCCATAATAAAAATATCCATCATAAGCCACGTCAAGGCTTGGAACCAATTTATTCAAATCTATCGATTTAAATTATCAATATTATCATAATATTATTAAAAATACTTCTATTTTAATATTTTAATTAAATAAAATATAATTATTTATCAAAAAAATAATATCATAAACCAAACTATATCTAAAAAATCATATTCAAGATCCAATGCAAGTCAGACAAGATCCATAGACTTGATGAGCAACTCGGACTATGAACAAGTGTATTATGCAATTACAGACCTTAAATGAAGGTGTGAGAGTAGAGGTGCATTTAGTATATATAACTAGCAGCTGTGACATTTGCATACCCTTTGTCACACCCTGCACTTCATTTATGAATTTATTGTATGCATCGATCTGAATGATGATAAATCCTGTTATTTGGGGATATATTTAAAAAAATCTATATCATCATTTTCTACCTTTGACAGGTGAATTATTTTAGATGTTCTAAATTATGTTGGAATGTTAAGGACAGAAACAGATCAGAAGTGACCTAGCTCGATGACTTATGGTAGAGCTAGGCTAAATAGCCCGCTAGCAAATGCCGAACAAGTTAGAGTCTACAGTTGAATGGATTTTTTTTTTTTTTTTTGCAGAAAAATGAAGGAAATGCTAGCTTACTAGAGCCAAATTTCACCAGGAAACAAGAACATCTGGGTGGCTAGCATCTAGCTGAAAAACTGATCCATGACCACCCATGGTACTTGGTTAAGCCTCACCAAGAGAGAAATTAAAGACAAATTAGAGGAAGACATTGATTGTAGTACTTGAAAGAAAAAAAAAAAAGGTGATGGGACCCTACTTGTCATACTTTGTTCTAATTAGGGTATCAGATGAAATGGTGACACGGCTGGCAGAGGGGACATTTTTGCTGGGAGTTAGTGGAAATAAATCTAAATTT